AAAAATTCGCCGAAAAACGAGACTTATCAAAAAATCGCTAAGCTTTTCGCCGATTTGGGAGGGTTCCTTGGAGAATCGCCGAACATCTACCAAAATGTTGTTGCAAAGTGCGTTTACGAACGAATGATGGTGCTGCAAGCATGACCGCTCGAGCTCTCTATTTCGGTATAAAGGGGTTCAGGACAGTTAGGCCCAAAAATTTAATTTCAACATCAGCCCAATCTGACATCAGGTTTGAATAGGTACAGCCTTATATTTTCGCTTAGTAACATCAGTTTTTCAATTGCCTGAATAGGTCTTGCCAAAAACACAATTATTTTCCTTGATAACACAAAATATCGCAAAATCCGAAAATTGATGAGAAATCGTCCATAACACTAGTTAGGACAGAACATATGACATAAAATTATACAGACTGTTCGAGGTATTGACTAAGATGATATCAACATCGAAAAATGTACACTTTGGTTGACGATGGGATCCAGGTCGTCATTTTCTGGAGAAGAACAAAAAGACGCAAAAAATGAAACTTTGAATATTTTTTGCAGCTTATTTTTGAGTTTGCCCCATATGTGGATACTTCAAATACATTCTATAAGTAGGTTGGAACAGGTTTACCGTGGCGAAAATAGGGGTCACCGTGCATATTCTGGAGAAAAATCCAAAAAAACTGTCAAAATTTGCCTAAAATTGGTAAATTCACGTATCTATATTACTTGTACTTCTCTGCTGCTGCTTTGGTCATAACTTATTGGATTTTTGGCTGTTAGGTGTTGCATAAACTCGCTAGAGCCCTCGGCGTTCAGAACAATGCAAGGATGGAATAGCTGCATGAGCTAGTGAATTTGCTGAGCTAGTGAATTTGCCAGAAAACCCTGGGCGCACGCATTATCGATAGGTACTTTTCTCCATGATTACTCTCCTGTTGGTACTTGGTTTCGATACATGTACATGTGTGGGAATCTTCGGAAAGCATGCAGATTCCTCACATCCAACACCACACGACACAGCAAGCCAGGGGCACCAGAATTACATGAATAAACTGAAGTTCAGAGAGAAAAAACGACAACCGTCTTCTAACTACCAAGGGAAGAAAAGCACTTCTTGTCGAAGGGAGAATGCATAAAAAGGGAGAAGAAGTTAAGCCAAAAATGGGTACGCGGCATAGGAAAATACAACATTATCGTACCACGCAATACGGTGAGTGAGAACACAGCGTGCGGGTACGCGGGATCGGCAGAAACTAGAGTAGAGTGATTATGGATATACGGGACCAAAAAGTAAGGAAGGGTCAAGAGTACAAGTTGCGATTCAAGGACAAATTTGACGGAAATCTCCATGGGGTTTGGAGTGGATACACTACACATGTAGCTGTGATAGCTCTTAGCACAGCCCCAAATCAAACTACAATGAAAGCTGACATATTGGAACGAATCAGACAACATTGAGTCCTCTCGTTCTTCAACTATGCGAGCTAGAACGTGTCCCCACACTGGCAAAAATGATGGTATTTTACGGTGCGCACAAACAAGTGAAGCGCTGTGCCACAGGACGTTACTTACAGTTGGGTTGCTGCTGGTTCTTGGCTAGGTGTTCAGCCACCGCTAATATAATCTTCCTTGAAGCTGTCACCCGCTTTTTACCTCCGACTTGCTCCTTCATCAGTCTGGAAATGGCTGGCTCACCACTTCGTTTGTAGGACAAGACAAAGTGCTTCATCACCAATCCACTAGCAGTTGCCCGCACTGCAACTGATTTAGAGAAGCACGTTGCTTGGACCAACGGTTGAAGGGTGGCCAGCCGCTTTTGCTGATGTTCTGCAAACTCCATCGCCGAACATGTTGATGCAAAAGTGACAGAGTGCTACAGGATACTGGCATCAGGGCGAGCTTCGACTAGGGCCGCAACATCCGCAACAGCATCATGAGCAGCGAAATCATTCCCAACAATGAACTATAAATCAATCTGAGGCTGTAGCTTGGGAGCTCCGGTATCGCGGTTTAGGGATGAGAGTGTTCACGCAGCGCAAAAATGCACACCATCGGCACACATATGCGTGCACACACACTCTCACACACACACACACACACACACACACACACACACACACACACACACACACACACACACACACACACACACACACATGTAACACAAAAATTATAGAACCGCAATACTGGGCTAAAAGTACCGGCAATCAGAATTGAAAACACTCATCATTGAACGCACTACAAAACGCAGGCCCACGCCAATACACACACACACACACACACACACACACACACACACACACACACACACACACACACACACACACGCATGCTCTCACACGCAATAGAACACACAAGCGCGCGTATACACACATATACATTCACGCACGTGTACGTACCCACCCACATGCATGTGCACACTCATGTGCATGAGTGGAGATGCCCGCATACACATGTCACACCAACATGCCCTGGGAGCGGTCATGCACGTGTATAGTATATGTGCGAGGGCACGTCCACATGAGCGCATATGCATGTGCATGTTCATACATGCGTATGGTGCACACATGCACAAACATGCAGGTCTATGCAAACACACACACGCTCGCGCGCGCGCGCATACAGTGTGCTCATACATTTCCATAGCCATAGGGTGGCAATGACTCGCAAATATCATGAATAAATCTTATGAGATTGAAAAACACACTTACCCAAAGCAGCTTTGGTGTTGCTTGTGGAAGCACGGGGTCCAGGGTGCTGAGCAGTTACAGGGCTATCTGTATCTATAAAATTCTCCATCCCACACTGCTGACACGGAATGACAAGTACGCTGCCCAGGCCGTACCTCTTCTCTTCAACGCAATCAATGAGCGCCAGAGGTTTGCCACGTCTAGGATTCTGGCACGCAGACAATCCCACAGCCAGATACCTGAGATGAACGACTCGTCGACCGTGAAGAGGGGCACTGAACGACCTCTTCGCGGGAGTCAAATTCAGTGGCGTTGGTGGTGGAGATCGCCCTTTCCGTTTTCAGGAACTCGATCGATCGTTCGAGCTTGCGAAGCGTCCCCCTCCTCGGCTTCTTGAATCGTCCAGTACGCAGAATGCGAGGCCGCGTCGTGGGTGACAGATTACTCTCTCGCGTCTTCATCTCCACGACACGTCGGCAGGAGAACCAAGCTATCAAAAAACCGCCGATGTCAAAACAAATCCGCAAGTCCACTAGTGGCTGAGCTTCTTCCTCAAATCTTGTCTCGACTCGAGCACGCGCTGCGAAGTCATGGTCAAACTGCTTACATTTTTCCACTCCGAAAGGCATTATTTTTCAGAAAAAAATCGGAAATCCAACATGGCGCTAACCGTCGCGAACCCCCTTAAAGGGGAAGTGCATCGATTTTTCGAGTAGGGTCCAGAAGAAAGACAATTTGATATCGGTTCGAATGGCATATCTCTCGCTTTCATACGATAAGCCAAACTACGTAACTACTTGCCAAATCGCCAATTGTATGCTCACGTTGCCATAGCGACCAGCGGAGTGATGACGTACGAAAGGCTTAGCTCCTCCACAGAGAAGGTCGATCACTGCAGAAATTGGTCATTTTCAATTGTCTTATTGTATTCACGATGTGAAAGAAGTGCTGTGTTCAATGCTGTTAGTGCCGTGAACTATTTGTCGCCCTTCTCATGCATTTCCCTAGGCTGACTGTGCCTAGGAAACGGTTTCCTCCAGGACAAGATGCTTGGAATTCGCCGTCTCTCCTGAGACATTTTCAGCAAACTTTCAAACCTACGACATCAGTATTTCATTCGTCAATCTCCACCACCCGTCGTCTCACCTGGCTTCAGAAGATGTTACGAGAGATAGGAGAGTCGCCAGGAAGCATCACATTCATCTTCAGGAAGTGGAAAAAGCAAACGGCATGGTCCTTGGTTGGGGGAAATGCTGAACGTCTGATTTGTCCCAACCAAGATTTTAGCATTTTGTTCGCCACTATTTTCGCTTGTCTGCTGGTGTCTCCGCGCTCCAGCTTTCTCCTGTCGGTGTCACGTCCCAGTACACAACCGAGAGGACTACTAACAAACAGTTCACTGCACTTACAGCATTGAACACAGCCCTTCTTTCACTTCGTGAATACAATAAACCAATTGAAAATGACCAAATTCTGCAGTGATCGACCTTCTCTGCGGTGAAGCTAAGCCTTTCGTACGTCATCACTGCGCTGGTCGCTATGGCAACGTGAGTATACGGCGATTTGGCAAGTTTGGCTTAAAAAAACGTCAGGACAGACATCCCGTCGACTCCAGAACGCCCGGGAACGGCAGAGTCAGCGCCGGTCCCATAGCTATGCAGAAGACGTTACTTCAGTATCTCATTGAAACGTTTTTGCAATACAATGATGTAGCTAATCAAAGGAAAAAGCATTTCCATCAGTTCTAACAACATGCACGATGAGCTAGGCAACAAAGCATAGCGCAGGGCCCTGAGCTTCCAAGCTCTCTCGTTTGGTATTTGTGTGTGTGTTTATTTGTTTGTTTGTTTGTTTGTGTCACGCCTGGCGCTATCCCGTATCTGACGGCAAAAAATCATAGGGATGTTATAAATTTTTCAATTCTCCTATTTTTTCAGACATATCCTGGGATTCGAACCCGCACTATCGCCCTACATCAGGGAGTCGTAAAATACCTAGGAATACCTAGTATTTTACGACTCCCTGCCCTACATGCATTCCCCCATTCATACCCATTCTTCCAAGTAACTTAGTTGCTTCACGTTATGATCTTGCGTTTGAAAGCCCTATTTGAATATTGCGAGCAGCTGTATGTGGCCAGCTGTGTTTGATGGTACGGTACGGGAGACGGTGTCGTATTACCCTCGATCGTACCTGTCCCGTACCTATCCCTACCGTACCGTACCATCAAAGACGGCTGGCCACAATGCATATTCAAATAGGGCTTTGGTATTGGTATTGAATTATTTGAATTCGGTATCTCAACAGTACATTGTACAACTTGGGAAGATCCGAATGACATAGATACATAAACATAAAAGTGGAGTAGGTGCTACAGCGGATCATTTTATCGCAGATTGTGGGACTAAACTAATACCAGTATGCAAGTACACAAGAAATAAAAGCTGAATAAATACGACTGCATGACATTGGAGAAAAGCACCAATTAGAGCAAAACAAAGCGACACATCACTCATCGAAAACATTTTCAAAAAGGAGCTGTTTTAACCGGGTACATTGTGGCCCGTCATTAAGAAGGCAGGCAAGATGGGCGTTAAATGCAGAAGACGTATTGCAAGACTTCATTTCGAAGGGCAGAGCATTCCAAAGTAAAGCAATCCTACTAGGCAATGAGCGATACCCGCTACAGCTACTTTAAAGTAGGACCAAAGGATGTTATTTCCAGTCAAACGAGCCTGGCCAAGCAGATCACCTGTACTGCTTACTTGTTGCTGTGTTTGAATTCTTTATTCTCACGATTGCACCATCGCCCGCCAATAAGAGTTGTTGTTGTTGTTGTTGCTGTTGTTGTTTTTTTGTAATTTATTTATTTCTGGTTACCCCAGAGGCTGGGTGTTGCCGCATCACTTTGAAGTGGTATCATAATCTGAACAAGGATAAGCAGCAGCAGCACTGGGCCATGTACAGTACAGGTTCTTTTCCAGCAGCCACCACTCCACAGCTGGTATCAAAACACAAAGTCGTACCAGTGCAGATCTCTAAGTACAGAGGATCGTACTTACTATACAGTCGAACTCGCATATAGCAAAATCTTAACTATTAATTTTGGTGAACGTAATCAAGTGGTGTGCTTCACTGTCCGAAGACGGCGAAGAGTGCTCAATACCCATGTAGCCGGGCAGAGCCTTGTACACAAGAGAGAGAAAGAGAGATTGAAAGCTGTGTCACAACTCTGAGTTTCACGTATTACTACGACCGTCAGGCAACCTTGCCTGATGACCGTAGTAATACATGAAACTCAAGAGTTGTGACACAGCTTTCAATCTCTCTTGTAACTATTTGGTGATGTGGCGAACTGTTGTCCTGAATTTGTCCATGTCCCAGTTTGAACCCACAGTGTAAGTACGTAAGTGTGCTTAGGTTACAACGAACTTTGGCTATAAAGAAGTTGAAGTGACTAATTCTCTTGCACAATAGTGTCCGTTATGTCAGGTGTTGACTATATGTGGATCACGCTGCAGGGGTTTGGCTCGCCAGCTCGGTCAGCGATCCCAGTAGCGCGCTCATCCAGATAGCTACGGCCGTGGCACCGGCATCGGGTCGCGTCCAGTGCGCCGAGCTGACGTAGCTGGCACGGCCCGCGCGGGCTTTCATCGACGCCGTGGCCTCCGCGCCAGCACGGGATGCCTGAGGAGTGAGGGAGCGGCACACAGGACATATCATAACAACAAGACTAAGATTTTGTTTTCTGATCATCGCTTAGTGCGTGAAACTCTGAGTAAAAACTAGGGGTGAAACGAAGGTGTCAAAGGTTCGAAGAACCTTTGTTTTCATGTGAAACAAACCTTCGTTTTCAATTCAAACGAAGGCCAACACACGATTTCTTCAGGCACGCATGCACTGATCTGCCCTGTAGAGAGGCCGCGGGGTGCAGAAGTAGTTTTGGGCAGTTGGGGGTGCAAATTGCGCAGTGCAAAAGCTATGGGCGTGCCACTTGTGGTGACTGCCCAGCAAACATAGTAACGGTCATATACTTAGTAGGGCACATGCACAGAGTGCGCTTCAACGGTAACTGGTAAGAGAATCCTTCGACACATTCGTTCGTTTTGATGAAGAAGGTTCGTTTTGCAAATTGAGACCTTCGTTTTACCCCTAGTAAAAACACTTTTCCTCCTCTTTTTCTTGTTGTCACAAGACTAAGATCTAGTGTTTACAACTTTACAACATTAATACACCTGTACTTTAGTGCTACTGTCGTGCACATGAAAATCCGGCCGAATGCCTCCGGGCCGGTGCCCTCAGTGCGTACAGAACGCTGCATGCAGTGAGTGCACATGTTGATCGTATGTGTACTTACGGCTGCATGGCCAGCATGGCCCGGGCCGCTGGACCTCCGACCGGATTTCCATGCCCACGGCAGTAGAATGTGTTTACAGCACACGTACCATGGGTTGATCATCAATAACATATGCTATGCTTATTAAACCCGAACCAACCAGGGCTGCAGTCGGCGCCACGTATCATGGTGCTGTGCCACCCCTCAAAGCCTCTTGTTGACGTAATCTTTTCGACGACGCACGCGCTGCGAGTGTTTCGGAAAGTTTTCCCTCGTGCTCTTGGCCGGCTTTACACCACAATGTCGGTGACCAGCACGTGCTCTCACACTGCTCTGCGGCAAAATGCGCGTTCTTCTGAAAAAAGGTGACGTCAACAAAAAATTCCGCCGTGGGCGGGGGTATCTGCAGATTGTGCAGGAGAGATCCGGAGTTTATCTACTCTAGGTAGAATGCATTGCATGCTTGTACGTGTGCATGATGCATTACATACATGTACTGTAAAAGCAGAAATTTTCGGTGGGTTTTTATTTTCGGTAACTTCGGTGCCGAAATTTTTAAACGCACCGAAAATATCGTATTATAGTACTAGTACACTTACCTGGAACGCGGGTTTTACCGAAAATTTCCCTCCACCGAACCGCCGATTTTGGAGAATATCGAAAATATTACACCACCGAAAATTTCTGCTTTTACAGTACATGCAGGCACTGAAGAGTAGTAACCCACTGTGCTGGTTCTTTTTTTTAATTTTTTTTACAATGATCACAGCTCACAGGCAAAGACAACAAAAATTGCAGGTGCGTAGATCTACGTATGGCAATAGACCTACCTTATTCAACATGATGTACTCCATGTCCACAGCTATGCAGATTTAGACAGCTATGCAGATTTAGACAGCTATGCACAAACTTTTCCCGCCGCCCTTCTTCAATATCAAGCAGGCTGCGACCCTCTGGGGGGCCGGTGTGTGATTAGCGCCCGTCTTGGTCATGCTACTTGACCCTAGAGGGTGCATGATACTGGGGACCATTCGGTTACACTCCACTGTGCTTACCTGCACGGCCAGGGTTAGAGCTTCAACAGCGTCACTGCTCGACCGGGGCTGGGACTGGGTAGCGCTGTCGTCAGCCTTGTTCAGCACATCCTGTGCGCCGCAGAGGGCATCGAGCTATGGACAGGACACAACAACGCAAGTTGTTGTTGTTGTTGCTGCTGCTGTTGTTGTCGTCGGCGGCGTCGCCGTCATTGTTGTTGTTGACTATTATTATTTTTACTTCACCAGTTGCACAGGTATTGTTGCCTTCTCACCGTCCCAAAGGTCCGGTTCTCACAGAAAGATGAAGCAAGTACACGTGACAGAACATATTCGCCCCGCCTTGGTCGAGCACTCTTTCTGGTTAGCATCAATGTTTCCCTCCCTCGTGCAAAGCTCGCTGTGTGTATCACAGTTGGAGCAGTCTGACTTTGATGCTTTGAGCTGGTTTAAAAAAGAAAAAAGAAGCTTTATTGTTCATTAGACTTCACTGTGAGCGGCTCGGCCAGTAACTCTGTTGACGAGACCTAGCAAGGTCGAAACAGCTAGCTGTTCGGAGATTGAGTGCTACATCTGTATAAGTATTTTGCTACCTGCATGCCAACTTTAAATCCTACAAAATAATCCAATATGGCGGTGTTTTGCTCAAACCCTTACCATGGTGCGATCGCCACGTTTCGCTCCGCCATAGCTGCAATGCACAGAGAACATACGCGCGCACACACACGCACACATGCATGCACAGACGCACACACACACACACACACACACACACGCATGCACGCGCACACACACACACACACACACACACACATACACACATACACAGTTATGTACTCCCTCACTGACTGAAACTGATCACATAGGTCTCCCTGGGAGAGCTGAGCGAGATTCAAAAGGAATCGTGGAAAGATGACCCCTGAAACACCCAAACTCTGGGTGCGCTTGGAACTGATCCCCTTTTTTATGGGCTCACAAAACTACCGTAAGTGCATGAGGACGAGAATTAGATCAACAGATTGATGGTATCAGGGTATCCGTCCTGGAATCCAACTGCATTTACCCCTGTCCCAGGAAACACTTGCTGCTGGCGTGTGTTATTTAACAAACTAAATAGAGTGGATGCGATAAAGGATTCACTAGCACCATTGACTAGTTGATTACACAACAGTTAATCAAGAGCCTGACAGAGGTCGATGATCACCAGGTACGTGCATGTATAATATAGAAAGCACTTCATATTATTCTGGCAAAAGTGTACCCAACAACTGTACTAGCTGGCACACACACACACACACACACACACACACACACACACACACACACACACACACACACACACACACACACACACACTTGTACTTGCTCACTGCCAAAACTGGTCACATGGGTCTCCCCGGGAGAGGGGAGAGAGACTCAAAAGGAATCTTGGAAAGATGACTCAATTGGCCATTGAACCACCCAACGGCCGACACCCCCTGAAATCCCCAAACTAGGGTGGACTTGAAATAATCCCACTTATGGGCTCACCACACCTCAGTAAGTGGGTGAGGACAAGGTGCAGAAAAAGGATTGACGACATCAGGGTGTCCGTCCCGGGATCCAACTGTAGGTACCCCAGCCCCCAGTGAAGGTAATACTTGCTACTAGCAGTGGCGTGTCCAGGATTTGGCTGAGGGGGGGTTGCGGCCGGGATCAAGGCGGGATGGGGTGGGGGTAGATGACATCATGCTACTGTCCCAGGTCAGCCATTTTGAAAACCAATGTCAAGAAGCTCCTCCTGTAGCCCCTTCTTCAACAGTTATTCACCCGAACGGCCCCAGAGACTGTTCCGGAGGATCAGCGCACCACACGGGGACAAGTGTCGAACTTGCTTCAAGTTCCCTTTCTCCGTGGGCCTGCGGTACGATCGAGCATGATGTTTTGGGGAAGCATTCTCTGGAACGCTCTCCCCTCTGATTTTAGAGTGATACGTGTCCCTGGTCCCTTCCGAAAAGCTCTTTCTGCCATTGATATACTTACTTTGTCCTCGTTAAACTTTTATTATCTGCCATAAATTCCAACCTTCTCATCTATCAATCATTTGTGCATGCATGTCTATAAAATCAACCACGTGTTCCTGACTCCATGAGATTGTCTTTCAATTCTTTGACTCCATGAAATTATTGTCTTTCTATTTCTGACTCCATGAAATTGTTCTTGATATAAATTTTTCCCTTTCTTCTGTTGGTCCTTTCTGTCTTATAAGTTATTATTATTATCATTTCTTGTTTTCCCTTGCATATCATCCCTTCATCATTCTGTGAGAACCTGTCCTATGGGCAGGTGAGAAGGCATCTCTGCCTGTTCCGGCATTTGGTGAAGTAAAATAAACAACAACAACAACAACAACAACAACAACAACAACAACAAGCCGTAAATCTCACACACCACGAGCAGTATTTCTGTACACGCAGCAACAAATGTACATTGTAAACTTCAAATTTGCGAGTCCAGCAATTTCTCACCGCTCTCAAAGTATCCTTTACATAGGCTAGGCAGCGGTACTTGTCACTGTGCGCTGTTCTTTATGTTCTGGCTGCTCGCTGACAACAGGTTCTTCCACGTCTGGCGGAGTTTGACTGTCAGTCCGCTCCGAAAGTTCAACTGGATTGTCTGGAATAACAGCAACTTACTTCATCACTCCCACTGTTTCCTGTTGGAGCGGCAGCAGGAGTTGCGCCGCCACAGGAACGCTTTACAAAAATTCCAGGCTCTGCTGGCTAGAGCTTGGCCTTTTGGGATGTCCCTGAGACATCGAAGAAAAGCCTTCGAGTCAACCAAAACACGATTCGAACGAGGATGATCGCCTGAGCCCTCGGCATTCGAATCGTGTTTTGGTTGACTCGATCGAAGACTTTTCTTCGATGTTTGTACCGTTGAAGACGCCTCGAGCGCGTCCCAGCAGGGATCACACTGTACAACAGTACACAGTCAGGTCACCGTGTTTCTGTAGCCGTGCATGCTCACTGTACGTAGACTCTACTCAAGCTCTGTAGACTGTAGACTACAGTGTACTGTACTGTAGTCTGTAGTGTGTACAACACCAGCTCGAGCAGCACCGCACCGTGCAACCGCTTTTGGACAATCGTTTCAGGCCGCGCGCGCCCCGAGCCTAGTCTAGCTCGACCTGGCGCGCGCCCTGTATTATTTTTCGAAACCTGGGTCGAAATTTTTGAGGGGGGGGGCGCGCGCCCCCCGCGCCCCCCCCTAAACCCGCCACTGACTAGTGTGGGTGGCTAAATCAGAGTGGATCTGATAAAAGCTTCACTAGCACCATTGATTACACAAGAGTTAATCACCCCCCCCCCACACACACACAACCCCCCCCCCCCCACACACACACATACACACGTTTCACTACCACTGACCACCAGCCACAACAGCATTGCCGGCATCAGCGGACATCAGAACTGACCTGCTGATTACGTCAATCATGCCAGTTACACACTCGCGGCACGTCCGCACAATTCCACCAGTGCCCGACTGCTTCAGTATGTGGGCGACTCGCACCAACATCAGGGTGTAGAGCTGAGGGAGGGAGGGATAGAAAGAGAGGGATTGAAACTTGAAAGCCACTTGGAAAAATCTACACAAACCCTGGTAAAAATTACTAAAAAAAAGAAGTAAAAATACACCTCTTTTCATCTCTGTGTCAAAGCCAATGTCGTGAACATGTTAGTGCCATGCACCAGTGTACAGTCCTGCAGAGTCATGCACCAGTGTATAGTCATCAGGTGTGGGATGCACAACGCCCAGCACTAGTTGACACACAGGGTTGGATTTCATTGAGTAGTACCGTACTAAGTTAGTGTGAGAATGGTGTACTTACCGCTCCCGATGTGCCGCCCATCACCTCTTCCAGCTTTGCCGCAATCACCACCAGAGCATCATGTGGTCGCTGCACGGGGACGGCGTTGGAGTCGAGCATTTCCAGCAGGGCTGTAGAAACATCAGCAGGCATACACAAATATACATGTAACACACAGACCTTTGGACCTTTGGATGCCCATTGCTCCGTGCAATGATAGCATCAGGAGTTGCAGTATTTCCTGTGGCGAGTTACATCGTTGGGCCGGCGGAAGTCCCTGCCACAGCCGCAAATGAACACTCTAGGCTTTGGAACAGACGGCCGGGGATGATTGCACATGAGGCGCCAGTCTCGTCTGTCCTGCGCCAAGTCGCACCAGTCACCTGTCACGCACCGAGCACTCAGATCAGCAGCGGCAATGTCCCTCCAACGTTTCTTAGCAGCAGATGGCACCTTACGGCAAATCCGAGCATCTCCTGTGCTCTCAACTAGTGACTGCCCATTCCAGCTCGCGACAAGAAGCCTTTGTCGTCCCAACTTTCTCTTCGCCTTCATCTTCAATTTCGAAAATTCAAATTTCAACACACACACACACACACAATATGTTCACACGCCGTCGCCAGGGACCACTGGACAGTACCATAACAGACATAGACTACTGTGAACTGCCTAATATTCGCGACGGATTAAAGTTCGCTATTTTCGCGAGAAGAGCGTAACGCGAATATTACCCAGCGTGAAATCAAGCTCCAACAGTGGGTGTATGTAGGTGGCTTCGGTGCTTCGTGACCTTTTGCCATCGCAACTTGCTGGTTATAAGAAAACGCGAATATTGGGCGGTTTACAATAACATTGTGCTGGTTTTAAACAGTAGCAATGAAAAGTATGAATGCCGCAGACATCACCACGCAACATGACAATTTGTTCAAGGTTTGGTTTTGTGTGTTTCCAAAATCGATTTTCACGTTCCGATCATCAGTGGAAATACGGAACTAAAGAGATCAAGGGAAAAACAAAGGTTAAAAATCCAAAGAAGTGTGACACATGACGGGTAACTTGTGGTAAGTTTTACAAAAAGTGAGAACTAAAATACAGAGTAAGTGTGACAAACGGGCATGAACAGTGCAGAAACAACTCATGAACACGGGGTGCAAACTCACGAAAATAACCTAAGTGCTAAAACATGTTCTTTTTGCTTACACAAATCGGGCTTATGCGTACGAATACAAACAGCTTCAAGGACCTTCAACTGCTGGACATAACGGGCACGACACAGTACAGAGAAGTGGGAATCATCATACACACTCAAACAATCGGGACGAGATAACAAATGCAAATACACAGCTGACTTCTTACGAATTTCACCCTCATCAGCTCCATCACCTTCCCTGCCACCTGACTCCTCCTCGTCCGTTTTATCACCATCACCACCAGCCGTCTCACCGTCATCCGCCTCGTCTTCATCCGCCGCCTCGTCATCACCCGCCTCGTCGTCATCTGTATCCTCGCCGTCATCCGCCTCGTCGTCATCTGTATTCTCGTCATCCGCCGCATCATCACCCAACTCATATTCACCACCAGTCAGTCGTCTGATACCATCCATGTTCTCCTTCCTACGTCTGTCCCGTGTCACTGTCTTTACCTCATCTACGTCCCGAGATTGTGTTCCGTTTTGCCCCCGGCTTCCGGTCTCCTTCGATGCTCCGCGTGGGCCTTGGCCATTCCTAGCATATATTTCGGTTGAATAATTGGCGGTCGACCTCCGTGGTCTCTGGACCCACGGATCAAGCGCCGGAGGGTGCTGCGGTGTCCGCACAGCCGGATACTGTGTCAAAGAAATGGGCTCAATGTCTGTGATTGGCGGTACTGTTGTTGTTGCCGACTCCTCCCAAACCCCAGCCACCAACGGCACTGGTGGTGGCTCCGGTGGCGGCAAGGGCAACGGTGGAGAAGGCACATTCGGTTGGCTTAGTGATCCACCACTCTTCCTCTGCACCGTGTGTTCGACTTGCTCTGGTTGTGTCGGTGGTAGAGGGAGCGGGTTCTTGCGTGGTCTTCCCCGCTTCGGGCGCTTCGCTTTTGCTGCGTCCGGCAGCATGTGAAGTGGTACATGCTGCTTGATACGTGCGCTCAGGTGTTGAAGGGTCCTACCAACGTACCGGCTATCACAATTCCGGCACTCAAATTGGTAGACCAAGTGGCTCAATAGGTGGGATGGTAGCCCTTGATCTCTTTAGTTCCGTATTTCCACTGATGATCGGAACGTGAAAATCGATTTTGGAAACACACAAAACCAAACCTTGAACAAATTGTCATGTTGCGTGGTGATGTCTGCGGCATTCATACTTTTCATTGCTATTATTAAACTTTTATCTCCACGTAGATTATCTGGTTTTAAACAGTTTCCCTTTCCTGCGGGACAAAACAGTTCACTTCTCAGAAGAGAACAATTCCAATATCGGTTGCGTTGAGTGTGCATCAGTTTCTGTCTCCTGTGCTGCAATACAAGAATTTACTGCCTGTGTGAAAGACAATCCAAGAGACTTTTACACACACCTAGGCACACCATTACCCTCAAATATCAACATGCCAATCATGATACCCATAATTCAGGGGTGGACGGGAGGTTTCCCCACTCCATACAAAGCGCATGCGATGATGATCTAATTCGCCGACAGCCTCCACATCTGTCTTACCCAGAGCGCCTTGCTTGAACGTAGAGCCACAGTCTCCATCACCGGCCGCGCTGTCCAGGTCATTGAGTTCCTCCTCGGCGTCGAGCAGTTTCTCACACACCGAACGCATGCACTGCGTAAAGTACAGGTCTGCGCCAAGAAAGAGAGAACAGCACAAGCACTAGAGGATTGGAATTTCACAAATTTTCGGTGTACTTTTATTTTCGGTACTGTCAGTGCATCTGTTTCATACCTAAAATGTCAATAAACCGAACAAACACTAACACACGTAATCCAATAGGGAACTGCTTCTCTGTACCTAAAATTTCTGTTTACCTATTAACCTGGCCTTTGCCCTCATACCGAAAATATTGAGCACCTAAAATTTCAGACACTAGAGTATTGATTTGATAGCTGAGGGTAGACATGCCCGCATCCACGCATGGATACGCACATACAAGCGCACACACACACACACACACACACACACACACACACACACACATACGCATACACGGTGAGCGTGTTCGTTTGTGTGTGTGTGTGTGTGTGTGTGTGTGTGTGTGTGTGTGTGTGTGTGTGTGTGTGTGTGTGTGTGTGTGTGTGTGTGTGTGTGTGTGCGTGTGTGCGTGCGTGTGTACATGGTGTGTATGTCAATCAAGGACAACTCCCTCACTGCAGACCCTAAGTTCCCGGTACCAAACACACTTTCAAAAATGCATCTGAGGTGAATACATGCCAAACACAATGCATACGAACAAATGGACTCAAAAACCGATCAGACATGGATTCACAGCAAATCAAGGTTTGAAGAAGAGGACAGGTCCAAGTACAATACCTGTCTTCTTGCCGTCTTCATCATATTCTCCATGATCAGACGTGGTAGATGCCTGCACAGTGCAGTGCAGTTTCACAACAACCGGGGGTTGCACAACGCGCTTTTGGAATGCTGTGGATGGCCAGCATGCAACTCGAACTTCGAAGCCTATAACAACAACAACACAGAGAGTGTGACCGAGACACATGGCTCCGGGATTGAAAATGAAAGTCTTTCTACTAGTTTAGAGCAAAGAACTATGGAAGATGTAGTCAAAATGATGGCCTGCGAAAGCCACGCCAACAGCAATCTCCAGCCTGTGACCTGAACATCAGAGTGTGCGGCTCTCCAGGAATAGTGCATGCAGAGAGCATGTCGCCTCATTGGAGAACTGCAGGCGATAAGCATTATTTATATTTAGACAAATTTAGAGACCCATTAATGTAGATGCGCTTAGACCTGCTCGTTGCCAAACGTGAAATAGCTCGTCCCGCTCTCGGAAACAGCGTTTACGGGGCCCGGTGGCTGTATCATTCAGACTCAGTAGCTACAATGCAGAGTGTGCGCCACACAGCGACGGTCACATGTCCCACCTCACAATTCCCACAATCCAAGTGCAAGCCAAGGAGCAGGACCAAGAGGAGGCACGTCTTCTCACCTAGTCCGTCCGACAGTGTGTCGTCCAGCCGCAGCAGGCTAAGCGACACACCGGCCATGTTGATGGACGTCATCAGGGCACCGCACGCCACTCTGTCGACATGCAGCTTTCGAACGCCCTCTGCGGAGCAGAGACATTTGAAATTTAAAATCAAATCATATAATTACAAGTATTCGCATCACTAGTTCACAACACAGTAGAATAACTAGCACAGTAAAAGAAGTGTACCATGTCAGGGGCGTAGGAGTGTTTTTGGAAGTGGTACGACCGAAGGTCGGCGCGGCCGAAGGCCCTGTTGGAGGGGGGTCCGGGGGACCTCCCCCGGGAAAATTTTGTAAAAAAGACACGAAATCCTGCGTTCTGGGAACTTCTGGCACACTTACTGTGCAGTCAATTGATCAAGTCGAGTACATGTATACAGTACTCAGTACGACTGCAGATGCACAACAGATCTACGAGTACGAGTCTAGAAAAAGGTCATAATGTGCGCATGCATCTGGATGGATCCTGATTTTTTTATTACGGTTTTGCACGTTCCGGACGGACCACACTTTTCGAAAAGTGGTACGGCCATGGTCGTACCAGTCGTAGCGGGTGCTACGCCCCTGCATGTACAGGACTAGAACTCGGATACTGTGGGAAATGGCCTGCACTACAGGCAAGAGTTTCAGACTCTACACTTGCTTACCAAGAAGTGGACAATGCAACCGGTGCCTAGTGCCTAGTTCACGAAGAAGCCCAGTCATCCTTAATGATATATGATCTGAAGAGTGAGTAGGCATTGGGTGCTACGGAACCCTAGCACTATAGGCACCTTTGTCGAGAATTGGTTCAGGGTGCTAGTCTTTTCATTCGGCTGGATTTCATCGAGCACGACTGAACGAAAATCAAGCGTTGGACAAACTCAGCAAATTGTAACACAGCAAGCTTCCTCTACAGACACAATAGTTCAAAAATGATGACCAACACGCTCAAAACTATGCGCGAGCACCAAAGGTCTACATACAACACAGGGCAAGGTTTCCTGGGACGTGGCGTGTGTAAGTATCATGATGTTCATACTTCAAAGTAGGTGTGCCAGAGCATGGACACTATTGCTATAGAAACAACTATGGATAGCAGAAACACTGAACAGTTCCCAGGTAGTATATAGCTAGCCCCCCCCCCGCCACATTGGTAAAACACATGTCATAGATGTATGAGATTGCAGACTGCTACTATGTACTCCTCCCTGTACATGCTATATACAGAGTCAGACACTTGCCATGGAATGAAGCGTGTGCAGGGAGTGGGTCAGGTACACAAAGCACCTTAGGAGGTACCGCTTGGCCCTACCTAGATGATCTATGGCTGCCTTGCTGACAACACCCAACTCCAGGTTGGACAAGCCGCCTAGGTTGTTGACAATGAGTGCCACGTGATCACCTGCAAGCACACAAGTACACATATAAAAGAGGTTTGGAAAACACACAGAGCATGTGCACAGAGGTTGACAAACAAGCACCCTCATCCACACACCCTCATCCACACAATGACAAGCACCCTCACACCTGCCAGGAGCGTCACACACGGTACGACCAGTACGACCATCGCTGTACTTTTCGTCCAGGATGGTCTGCCCAGCTGGCCAGATCGCCCCCTCCCCCGGGACTCACCCCAGACCTAGGGTCATACCACCCCCCCCCCCCCTCCCCACTGCCCTGTGACACCCCTGCCTGTACTCGGACAGTACAGTACACGGGAGTGACCAACAACAGGGTGCTGGCCGAAGAGTACCTCCAAAATCATGGCGCACCTGATGCAAAATTTCCCGAATCCAACATAATTAATGCTGCATACGTTCAATGCTTTAGGCACAGTACCACACCGGGTTCATGACCATTTTTCCGCGACTATGGTCCATGCAAAATGGTGACCTCAAATGGCAAAAACCAAAAATTTAGGTGGAGTTGATGCGAACTGGATTTTTCTTGGTATTCTTACTCCTCTGCTGTTTTGTGCTTTTTCTTTGAAATGCGGTTTGCATGAAATTGTATTGGATAATTATGCATTTCCCAAACAAGGCTCAAATTTCAACTCCCTGAACTAATGAATAGTTTCAAACTGGGTTTCTTTTGCACGTAAAAGAGGCTTACGTCAAGAAATTGCCCGACCATTACCTGCAGCAAACATGTTCTGCTTGAACAACCGCTCGGCCATCATTGCCACCGTCTCGTCGGCGGAAACCACCTGCAGCAGGCAAAAGACAGTGGGAAGCACAAACGCTTTCACTCAAATACCTCATGTCAAGCTGTCCAACACATGGTCACCCTCGTGGCGCAATGGATTAGCGCATTGGACTTCTAATCGGGCTAGCTGCTTGTACTATAACCGTGTCACTAGGACTACTGCAGACCCACAACCGAACTCATAGTTACGTTTCACACTGATTATAATTCCATGAGGTTATTGTTGGGACTAAGAAAAAGAACTAACTAAAAACAATGTTGGGAGAGCAAGAACCATGTCGCACCATACCGGACGCATGCGCATGGTGCATCGAACCGGAACTAAAGACTAAAGTACAGAGCACGCGAAGGTGCAGTACATGTATGCGCTTGCAAGCAGCAGTGTCAGGAATGCAGTGAATCGCACACACCGCACGGCAGCCACCGTTAGCACGTCATGCAGTCTATACAACGCAGTGGCTCATGATCATGAAGAGAAAGCGGACACCAACCGCACGAAGCCTATAGATTAGAAGATAAGAAGCACACCGCACATGCAGTGGAACAAGGAGTCACGCACGACTCATCCCTGAACGACAACGCCATGCAAGTACTCATGTACACAGGAAAGAACACAAACAGTGCACACAGCAACGAACAGAAGCAGCTAGTACACGTACTTGTACTAGGAGACATTCACACAACACCATGAATACTAGCTAGTGTCAGTCAGGATGGTGGAGGGGGTCACCATTACACTTCATCCCTCCGCCTGGTGACATTTCCTGCCAAGCCGCATCAATCCTGGAAGCGAGCTGGTCGCTGGATGCCTTGTCGGTTTCGAAGATCCATGCGGACATGCTGGCCATCGGCAGCAGGCTCCTGCGGATCAGGGAGCCATCCAAGCCAGCCATCTGCTTTGAAGCTGTCACCCTCCTGGCCGTCATCTCCATCAGGGAAGTTTTCCGTTGGCAATTCCAGACCTGGCCGTGGAGCATCCGGCTTGATGAGTTCCACGTTCACCACCTTCTCTCGAGGGGATCTACCATCAGACCTCCGCCAGATCACGACAGTTGATGGAGAAATGACTTTCTTCACAGTCCAGCCGGATTCAAAAGGCGGCAATCGCTTCTGACGACGACTAGGCATCCGCAGCATGACTGCATCTCCAGCCTGGTAAGCGCAGGGCAGCACCTCGTCACGGCAGTCGCCTTCCGACATGGCGTCTTCCAGAAGGTCTCGGATCCTAGCAGATCGTGCTGCGTGTTCTGCTTGCCACGTGTCAAAGTCGTACCTAGAGCGTCCATCGTCAATCAACACAGGTGGGTCCCACCCAACCATGGCCATCATTGGGGACATGCCAGTCACTGAATGCGGTCGAGAGCGGTAGAAGTGGACCAGCATCTGAAGATCGTCCATCCAGTCCGATGATTCGTCGAGGACCTTCCTGATGAGAGTCAGCAATGTCCGATTGTACCTCTCGGCGGCTCCCTGGGATTGCGGATGGCGAACGGCACCTGTCTTCACCCTCACGCCGAACACTTGAAAGACAGACTGGACAATGGCATTGCTGAACTCAGTCCCATTGTCCACACGGATGACGTCTGGTGGTCCCCACCTACAGCACAAGCTCACGAAGGCCGAGGCAACACTGGGCCCGTCGTGCCGTTTCATTGGCACTATTTCCACCCACTTTGTCAGCACATCCACGCACACGAGCACGCAGTGGTGTGTCCCGCCACGGTTCAGCCCAAGCTCCAGGGTGTCCATTTGCACTGTTCCCCATGGTCGACCTGGGATCTCTGCTCTGGCGCTGGGGGCTGCTGGGCCTTTTGCTGGACTAGCGGCTTGGCAGTTCTGGCACCCCTTGACGTGGTCTTGGCAGGCAGACGCCATCTCAGGAAAGTAACAGTGCTTGCGGAGCAACTCATACATTGGCTGCCAGGAAGCATGACCAGTGTTGACATGAGCAGCAGTCACGACATCAGGCACTAACAACTCGGGAACGACTGGCACATTGACTTCCCCTTCCACAGGCAGCTTCAGGCTCCTGACTAGGCAGCCTTCCTCCACATGAAGCTGACCGGCGCAACTGCGGAAGCGCCGACTTGCTACTGGCTGGCCAACTTGAATCTGCTGAATCACTCCTTGGATGACCTCGTCCGATGCCTGGGCTTTGCCCAACTCATCGCTAGAGAAAGGGCTAACAGCCACAGCCCTCGGCAGACTGGCCACAACATCAGAGCTCTTCTTCGGCCAGTTGAACGGCACGCGCGTCAGCTTGTCTGCAAGGTTTTCAGTCGTTGGCACCCACTCCACAGTCACCTGTATCTCCGTCATGCTAAGAAGATCATTGACTATCTGCAGCCGACGCTGCACCAGAACCTCATGCAGACCACCAACCCGGACGCGACGTGACCCACCAACAACCGGAGCCAGCCATCCCGCAGTAGTCTTCGAGTCAGTCTTCAGAACCACATGCGTCGCGTTCCACCTCGTGGCTAGCGTGAGGGCCTTAATGGCAGAGTCAAGCTCAGCAACATTTACATGGAGCTTGTCCCCTGCAGGCCGAAGCCATGACGCATCTTCCACAACGGTCCCGTCGAGCTCAAGAACGACACCAATAGCTAGGCCAGATGCATCGCACCACGCAGTCCAGGTGGAGTCAGCCTGCGCGTGCACGTCCCACTGACCATGCACCGGATCGTCGGAGGAGAGCCTCGCGAACAGCTCTTGGCAGCATTCAACAAGGGTTTCCGGCAGTGGATCGTCCCATCCATTGCCACCTGCAGCAGTCGCCAGCCGCTTCAGGTAACTGCAAGCAGGCCTGAGCCACGAACAGACCGGGTAGTGGCCAATAAGGCGTCCACACCACGAGAAGACCTTGCGTCTTGTCATCTTTGGTGGTGGCTCTAGATCGATCTCTCTCCTGGACCAGCCCATGGCGCCATCGGCATTAGCCTTCAGTTGCATACCAAGAACACGGGACTCCTCCATGGGTTCGGCAGGCTTCGTTGGGAGTCCGTAGGCTGCAAGCTCGTCGGCAACACACTGAGTCACTTCTGCTGGAGCTCGGATATCATCAACATAGTTGTCGACTTCTGGGCGATGGCGAGTGATCCACTGGATGACGAGGTGCATAAACTTCGGCGCAATCGCCAACCCGAAGCCCATTCTGGTCATCACGTACACCTTGTTGTTCCAGAGAACGGCCTGGTAGCGCACTAGCTCAGCACTGACATGCACCTGGAGATATGCTTTCTTCACGTCTAGCATCTCCCACTGACCATCACTGCTGCGTCTCCACTGCCTGATCTTCTCGGCGCACACGGGGGCTTCATAGCCAGGCTCAGACTCAATGAGCTCATTAAGCTTACGATAATCCAGGCATGGTCTGATCGGGGTGGATGCTTTATGCTCTTGGGTGCGAGCAATCAACGGAAGCACACCAGCCACTGCTCCATGTGTGGCTTCATCGTGCGGCACAAGCCAACCATTAGCGATCCAAGCGTCGACTTCCTTGCAGAACAACTTCTCCTGCTCTGGGCTCAGTTTCTCCCTGGAGTACTGGCCGATGCCAGAGCCCACTGGAACCTCAGGGGCTGCACCACTTTTCCACTTCCAGCGGAGAATCCAACGCTTGGTTTCATGACACCATTGGACCTCTCCATCACGTGCCGACAACGTGACACCTTGTCCATGACGGCTCACTTGCACGTGGCGGGAAGGGTGACCGTCCTGAGGAAGTGCAGCAGACACAGGACTTGACACTGGCCCAAACCTCACACTCTCCAGCCGGCCATCATTGGCATACTCAAGATGTAGGCCACCACAGCTGCTCGCTACATCACAACCGATCAACAAATCGGCGTGTACGACACTCAGATCGTTGACGACTAACAGCTCCACACTGGCTTCTGGCATCTGCACTGGGATAGGGCCATCCAATCGTCCAATGTTGACGGCCACTTTCCCAAGAACAGCAATAGACTGGCCATCCAGCGCCACGAGTCTGCTTTCACACTCTGACCACGCAAGGCCACAGGACAGGGCTTGGTCCTTAGTCAGCAGTGATCGGACAGCACCAGTGTCAATGACTGCTGTCATACGTGACACATCGTCCTTGTTGCCCGTTGTCCACATGTCTACCTTGATCCTAGGCAGCTGCCCTGGCGAAGGCACAGACACAGAGGCCAAGGCTGGACTAGGCTCCTCTCCAGCTGCTGCTGCAGCACTCCCGCCTTGCCGGCTCGCCAGCCAAGCTTTCCGGTCCGGACAGTCTGGCTTCCTGTGACCAGGCCTGTCACAGAAGTAGCACGTACTGCCACGGCCTCCACCATCCTTGGAGCTGGACCCACTCTGCTGCCCCTGCTTCCTCCTTGGGCAATCTCGCTTCATGTGGCCGACCTCATTGCAGAGGTAGCACAAGAAAGACTTCCTGCTGGTCTTGTCGCCACGTGCTCCACCAGCCAAACTACCAGTTCCAGCACCTGTACCTACTGCAGCTGTCACAGAATCGCCATCACTAAGCTGAACAGCACGGACTAATTCTAAGCAGGCGCTCACAGTCTGGTCCTTTCCCACAAGTGACAACCTAACCTGCTTTGCCCACGCATGTGGAAGCCCGTCAAGAAACTGCTCAACAACGGAGTGATTTTTGTCATCCCCAGGCGACGCATCGCCGGCCAAACTGGCGAGGCGCTGCAAATCGGCAACATAGGCATCTGGTGACTCCTCTTGTCTCATGCGTCGGGCCTTGAACCGCCGGTAGGCTTCCGACTTCGTCATACAAAACGCCTCTTCCATTTTCTTCTGGACGGCGTCAGGCTTCTTCTTGTCATCCGACTTCATTCGGCTGAACACCAGGAACGCATCCTGCTCCAGAAACAAGGGTAACTGGGCCATTTTCTTCTCGTCCGAGTCCCACTTGTTGATTGTCGCCAGCACGTCAAATTTCGCCCAGAACGTCTGGAAATCATCGACCTTTCCCCGGTAGGGTCGCAGGTATCCTTCAGCTTTCGACATCGTACTTAGATCGGAAAATTCAGTTTCCCCACGAGTCCACACGCGACAGTACAATCAACCACGACGCCAACCAGCAACCCAGCTGGTATCCCTGACGTCCTCCCGGGTTTCGGCACCACAAGCTGTACTATAACCGTGTCACTAGGACTACTGCAGACCCACAACCGAACTCATAGTTACGTTTCACACTGATTATAATTCCATGAGGTTATTGTTGGGACTAAGAAAAAGAACTAACTAAAAACAATGTTGGGAGAGCAAGAACCATGTCGCACCATACCGGACGCATGCGCATGGTGCATCGAACCGGAACTAAAGACTAAAGTACAGAGCACGCGAAGGTGCAGTACATGTATGCGCTTGCAAGCAGCAGTGTCAGGAATGCAGTGAATCGCACACACCGCACGGCAGCCACCGTTAGCACGTCATGCAGTCTATACAACGCAGTGGCTCATGATCATGAAGAGAAAGCGGACACCAACCGCACGAAGCCTATAGATTAGAAGATAAGAAGCACACCGCACATGCAGTGGAACAAGGAGTCACGCACGACTCATCCCTGAACGACAACGCCATGCAAGTACTCATGTACACAGGAAAGAACACAAACAGTGCACACAGCAACGAACAGAAGCAGCTAGTACACGTACTTGTACTAGGAGACATTCACACAACACCATGAATACTAGCTAGTGTCAGTCAGGATGGTGGAGGGGGTCACCATTACACTTCATGCTTGACGGCATTCAAAGGTTGTGGGTTCGAATCCCACCGGGGGTACCAACTTTTTTTTTCTCCTTTTTTGGCACAATTACCTTTTGGGCAGCAAGCACCATTCTCTACTGAAAATCAAACATCGTTTTCAAAAAGAAACCTTACTTTTGATCTACAGGTTTGGGTCGAAACTACTTATTTCGGTAAATGTTCAGAAGTTGAGGGAATGGAAAAGGGAAAAGTCTGAAGAAAAAATTGACTGTCACCACCAGGAATTAAACCAGGGACCTTCGCTTGAGGCCAGCGATACTCTAACCACTGAGTTATGGTGTAGCCGTCATCCCAGGTAGATGTGCTCGTTTTTCTATCCCAAACGGTAGATGCTTCTTTCCTCTACATGCTCTACCAGGTTTGAGGCTGGTAGAAGTCGGGAGAAGTTGGTAGAGGTACGGTATTTCAGGGGCGTAGCAGCCACTCCGGCCGGTCCGGCTTTGGCCGGACCACTTTATCGCCTGACCATGACCACCATAGTAAAACAATGCAAAAAGTGCCCAGAATGCAGGATTCTGCACCCTAATTTCAAAAAAAATACGGGGGAGATCCCCCCGAACCCCCCCCCCCCCCCCCCAGCCGGACCACCGCCAACGGCGGTGCTACGCGCCTGTATTTCTGTACCTAAAATAAATTCACCGTCCAATGGCAAAAGCCAATGCAAAGGAGGGGGTGTTAGCCAGTCATGGCAAGAGAAAGAAAACAAGAAGACTACTTGTGTGGCAATAGTATAGCTCGTATCCGCAATAATATCGTACATCGTACTGTAAAATAGACATTCTACCGAAATGGGTAGATCTGCATTTGTAAGCTACCATCCACCGTCTCTTCTTTTTCTAACATCCGCTCTACTCGACTCTACCAAGTACACAAAAACGAACGCAGCCTTACATACATGTGCATCAAATTTCTGTGTTGCATAATCCCGTCGGTGAAAAAATTACAGTTCATGTTAGTCTCAATCTCTACCGTCGGCAAGTATTCAGCAACTACGAGTCGTACATGTACTTTACCACTGACCTTGGTACGTTGTAAGCCAGCCTCCCCGTGGATCCCTGTCACCAGCAAGAACGCACACAAGACACGGACACAATCAAATCTGTTTTTTTTGTCTTCTTCTTAAAGAGAATTTTAAAAAAAGAGCTACGGTGGCGACGCAACAGTAGAATCAAGAAAAAATGCCACGAAACCTACAAACATGTACTACGCTGCATACACTGTAATCCCGGTGGCCCGACAGGACGGGTCGGCCTCGCATGCCAAGTCACTATTTCCGTGTTAAGCGTGACCTGCACGTACGCGACTTCAGGGTTCTACCAGGCTCCGTTTTCTTCCAAATTCCAAGTTTTCACTAGCGGCACATGGCGGGGTGTATATGGTATCAAAATGCGTTTTCGTCTGTTTGGTTGGCGTGGCTTAAATTCGAATGCAGAGGTCTAACAGTACTTGTACATGTATAGTCTTAAAACAATAAAACAAAAAAACCCACACAGATTAGAGAGGAGAATACCGTATATTCTCTATTATAAGCACAGGTCTCCATTACTAGCACAGTCTCTAATACTAGCACATTGTGAGCACCTTTCGAAACATTATAAGCACGGTCTCTATTATTAGCACGGTCTTGGTGGAAATCAATGCTGCATGCATGATATCTAGGATGTATTTCTTCTTGCTCTGTATGGATTGTAGTGGTTGAAAAAATATAAGCGCAGTCTCCAATATAAGCGCGGTCTCCAATATAAGCACGGGGTAGAGGGGTGTTGAAAAAATATAAGCACGGCGCTTATAATAGAGAATATACGGTAGCTCCACCCCATTGCCATAGGCTTGGTGTACAGATACTCCAGCAGATTAGTTGCCTTACCAAGGCCAAGCTCCATGATGCCGTCCGGCAGCTGAAAAGACGCTCCACGGCCGGGAACGTGACACGGAGAGAGACTCACGCCAATAGTAGCTGCACACGGACGCACACACGTGCCCACACATGCGCGCGCGAACACAAACACACGCACACACAATAGGAAGCAAGCAGATTAAGCCGCACTTCATAACGTTCACATAGGAGGTCTTGGATTATTTGACCATCATCATGGCTGACTTTCGACTGGGATACTGTGCTAGTCTCTGTGCGCCATTCGGAAAGCCGTACAATTCTCCCCTTGCAGGGATGATAAGGGCAAATGTAGCAGTTATTACCATGAGGTGACCAGCAAGGTTGGACACGAAAATAACTAAGCCCAGCATGTCGCTATATATGCTATAGCGCTACACCACCAGACTAACAACAAATGCCAGGCTCTGGACAATCAAATTTCAAAGTGTCCCCTAGCACTTTGTTAATGCCTACTCTTCATGTGGATACAGGCAGAAGAAGAAACTAGCCAGTACAAAAACCTTCAAGCAACCTACAGGTGGTATGAGTAGCAATAGGGAGATTAGTGAGAACAAACCGTTAGAAAACAGAGTCAAGTGATGATTCTCACGCACGTAGAAACATTACAGTTATGCACAACATTTGTGATGTAATTTAATGATGTAATTTAATGATGTACGCGTGAGGAGGTGTGATCAGCGTAACATGCATTGTGCTAACAATAACGTTAGATGACAAATGAACCCAACTAACAATGTGTGGATGTCCTAACTAACAGCCTGGGTGTGAACGCGTTCTGCCTCTGCTTGCACAGGTTTGGTTAGTCTCGCGTGCGTATAGACAGCCTCCATCAGCACACAACCGTAGGATTTGGTATGTTTGTACTTGTATGTGCGTGAGAATCATCACATTCCTTTTTCTGTGTTTGTTCTCGATGGTCTACCTATATCACCTATACATTGTTTAAAGAGGATTGTACTGGCTAGTTTCTTCTTCTGCCTGTATCCACCTGAAGAGAAGGCAACGCAAGTGCTCGGAGAAGCTTTGAACTGTTGACTTTAGGCCTGAGGCTTGTTATATTCTTTAGTTTGATTGCAATTTTGTGTTCATGGAAATACCTATACTGCTGCAGCTCTTTGTTTAGAGGAATTATGGTGCTCTCCATGATTGTCCAGTGCCCTATGTCTAGCAATGGTAGCGATACTAGTGTTACACTGCATGTACTTCAATCCCTAACCAGTGCATTGGGTGATGCGCTGAGCCGTGGCGTAGACCTCATCCAGGGACTTCCCCTGCTCCGCCATCGCTCCACAGATCTGCTCGGCAACAGGACAGGGCAGGATAGAAGGCAGCAGACATGTTGTGCACACTTGTACAGCCTGCGACACTGCAGCAAAATGCAGGCTCTGTGTCAGCAGCAGAGCCACGGTCATTCATGCAGCTATGGCACATGTCTGCAAGACTGGCCGCAGGGCACAGGATTTCGAATACTAGTACACTCATACCTCGAAGTTACGGGCACTTCAGTCTACCGGGCACACTTTGGGTGAATTTCAGTGGAAATATTACTACTCTTTTGTCACTTTTTTTGCGGAAGTAGTGACGCCATATGCCATAGCTATGGCCTTTGCCCATCAAAATGTATGTGATTCGGAGTTACGGACATTTCAAAATTACGGGCAGTGCCCGGCCCCGGACCGCCCGGATAAACAAGGTATGAGTGTATACAGTATTAGCAGTACAGTCATGTACTAATATACCTTGTGAATGAACAGGGCACCGGCCAGGCCGCGGCGACCGGCCGTATTCTCGTCGGTGTCGAAGGCCATATCGTCGGCCATCACCACCAGCCTGACGTCATGGCCCATGCCCTTGGCTCTCTCCACGGCCAGGCCGAAGTGCAGCCGGTCGCCGGTGTAGTTCTTGATGATGACCAGCACTCCGCCGCGGCCCGCCACGGCCAGTATGGCGGCCAGGATGGCGCTGCTCGGCGGCGAGGCAAACACGCTGCCGGCCACCGCCGCCGTCAACATGCCGCGTCCGACCAAGCCGCCGTGACTCGGCTCGTGGCCGCTGCCGCCGCCGCTGACCAGCGTCACGCGGCCGCGCGACACAACGTCGCTCACGTCCGACCTGACGACGACGCGCCGATGCCCGTCCACCAGGGCCAGGCTCGGCTGGGCGGCGACCAGGCCCGACAGGCTGTCGTCCACCGCTCCGTCGACGGAATTCAGCAACTGTGACGCGGTGGCCATCTTGTCAACACTACGATATGCAAGTACTAGCACTACGGGAATTGTGATAATGCGATAAAAAAGACAAGTGACACACTATTATGCTTGCAATGGTGGTGGTGGTGCCTGATACCTGATACTGGTGGGTGGGTGACGAATGTTTGTTAGAAGTTAAATCTAAACTGAGCATGAGGTGAGTTCTAGCCGACCCCACGTGCTACAGACACGGTTTGAAGACGTCACTGAAACATCTTGACTTGGTGCAGTGCCACTAATATAGCTGAAGATGTGAATTACTTGCCCATCAATACAATGTAGTCGTTTTGTAAATTGTTTCTGAAGTAAAATTATTTACTGACATCAGGGTCACTGATTCGACAGGTGCAGGATCTTGAAGAACCACGAGTCGTTTACTGCCGCACTCCTGAGCCCGACGACTCTCTCCGAACCAAGGCTTCTATTCCCGATCCCTCCTTTCAGCAGAAAATAAAAATAATTCATTCAAATGCGAGGCGTCTACTTCATTCGACATTCAACTGCACGCATAGTACCACTGTAGTACAGTACGTGTGTGGATGATCCCGATTCTCGAAAGATTCAAAGCAGGGAGTCGTAGATTCTACGACTCCCTGATTCAAAGACTGCGGCTGAAAGAGTCAAGACGCCAAAATCATGTCGGTATGACAACTCAGTGAGTTGAGGTCGATCGAGGTGACCGCTGACCGGTACACGCGGTGCAAGATTCGAGAGGCACGATGACTTCATGACTGCTGCACGCGTTGGGCGCGGCGGCGCGCACTGTACTGTGTGCGTGCCACTTTCAAATCAAGTAAACAGTTTCACACAACAGAATGTTTTCAAAGCCTGATTCGACTTCCTTCAGGCTTCACAGGCTTCAGAGCCAGGATCGGACAGGAAGGATTGTTGTGTCGAGTGTTGAAGAGCACCTGTGCACATGTGGCTGAAGTGAACTACACCCATGTTACATGTATCCAGTGCCAGCACAGGCAGTGTTGTGACAACCTCCCCCAACGCCCAGTAGTGGTACATGTACTGTGCTGGCAGTCTGTACGGCAGTCGTTCTGAAGATAAAAGAGTGCATGCACCCAAAACAGAGATTTCTCCAAAACGTGACCAATTGATTGTACGGAGTTTGCAAACAATAAGGCCAAAGGGCTGATCTCTTGATCAACAGCCCTGCTCTCAAGTCTCAGTCCACTAGCGATCCACCCGTATCTTCTCTGACCAATTCAAGGCCAATCACTTGCTTTAGTTTAGGGTACCTAGAGGATCGGGTCATCTACTACAAGCAGTCAACGGGTACGGTGTTGTTTTTGGATTCTGCACTCCCGAACACTGGTGCCGTGGTGGAGGCAATGGCGCTGTTCAAGCCGAGGTGGGCGCAGATTGCCTGTGCCATAGTACTTGTGAGCATTGTCGTGCGAGTTGCCGCGACTCCCTTGGCCTTGTCCGATGACGATGTCTACTTCGATGAGTTTGAATCCACCAACACCACCCACACCAACAAGTCTGGAGAGTGCTTCACCAAGATCTTTCCATGCTCTCATACGGTAAGCTGCTGACCTTCATGGTTTACTCGGTGCAGGGATAAATTATGGCTTTGGTCGGACTAGCCTGTACATGGACGTACACGTACTTGTAGCGAAATGTACGTTGTAGTTGAGTTGATTGAGTTTACGAGTATTTCAGAATTTTGAATGTTCAATGATTATGTCGGAAATTGTTATTCGTCCCGTATCATCTCCACGTATACCGTAGAATCCCGCGGATAAGCCCATGGGCTTATCTGTTTCACCAAGAGTCCATAAACAAGAGTATGCAACTGTGATCTCTTTTCTATGGGCCAGATGCGCGGCGCGCTGCCTTCATTACATCATTCAGCTGCAGTCCGCGCACTGCGGAAAGTCAAACACCGCGCTTTCCCTCTGGTTTGAAACGAACTTTCGTACGGAACTGGAGTTCACGCGCCATAACTCAGAGATCGCGTAGGTACTGGAACGAATCGAGCAAAAACGGATGGGCTCGTACGAGAAATTGTGAGTTTGAATGCATGCTTTCAGAGCGTGATGAAGGCAAGTTACGTATTGAAGGCAGCGCGCCGCGCACTGGGCCATAACCACAGTTGCATACTCTTGTTTATGCACTCTTGGTTTCACAAGGATTTCATTCCGGTGGGCTTATACAATTACAAGAACATGGGCTTATACGCGGGCATGGGCTTAAAGTTATACGCTGACACCAACATTGTGCTATTGAAAAGTACCAAAGAAGTGAGAAGTGTAATGCTGAAAGCCACTGTGCAAACAAAAACAGCCGATGATTGTGTTGAAATGTACAACAAAAAAACCTACACGTACATGTACAGTTGTGGCAAGTGAAATCCGACACTTGCCATAGGGGACAGCGCCACAAATGGACACCAATGATGTAGTGCACTGCACCTAATTTGTACTGCATCCCAAATAGATCGAAAGGTCACAGCATAGATACACACAGTTCACAACTATGGTACACATAAGGAGTATTGTTATCCAATCCCCATTCATTTCTGCCAGCACCTTTTGAACCTTGACTGTGATGAGTACGGATTTTGTCATCAGACAGATAAAGTTGTACCGTATAATCTCTATATAAGCACAGTCTCCAATAATAGCACGTCTCCAATAATAGAACACCTTGGGGCGGCATTCAAAAAATAAAGTGCTCAGTCTCCATTATAAGCACACTGTGTAAATTCATTATCTGTACCGGCAAGAGTAGATAAACAAGAGTGTGCAACTCGCGGATGGGTTGGCCCACGGCGGAATTTTTTTGTTGACGTAATCTTTTCGACGACGCACGCGCTGCGAGCCTTTTGGAGAGGTTTCCCTCGTGCACTTGGCCGGGCTTTACACTACAAGGTCGGTGCCCAGCACGTGCTCTCACACTGCTCTGCGGCAAAGTCCGCGTTTCTCTGAAAAAAGGTGACGTCAACAAAAAATTCCGCCGTGGGCGGGGTATCTGCAGATTGTGCAGGAGAGATCCGGAGTTGCACACTCTTGTTTATCTACTCTTGGTACCGGCGAAAACACCCTGAAATGTGTGTACATGTATCTGACATGAATTTGGCATGGCAACATGCCTCTGAAATGAGGTTGAAATAATAATGGAACAGTCTCCAATAAAGGAACGTCTCCATTAATAGCACGGGGCGGAGGTACATTGAAAAAATAAAGGACCGTGCTTATATTAGAGATAATACGGTATGTAACACATGTACTGTACGTATGGCGGGGCTGCAGGGGCTGCAGACTGCATGGTGCAGTCCCTTATGCCAAGTGTTGGATTTCACTTGCCACAACTGTACTACCTACATCAGTACATGTGCATGGTACGACCAAGAGTCCATAATTTATGGACTCTTGGTACGACTTAGGCCCCTGGGCTTGTACGACGACGCCTTGTGATGTTCGAACTTTCCCTGGGCTTATGCGCGGGCATAGGCTTATGCGCGGGTGGGCTTATCAGCGGGATTCTACAGTATACGCGCGGTGCACCAGGCACCACCCTGCCTCGTGCACTACAAAGTTTGTTGTGGGTCATTAACTCTTTATGTACTGATTTCCAGCGCAGAATGAAGCAGAATTTGAATTTTCAGCACAATTTTCACCTTCAACAGGCTATAACTTTGGCCTCCTTCGCTCCATTTCCACAGTCTTAGGCTCTTTGGAAAGCTCCTGGCAAGAGCAACGCCAGGATACCAGGCTCCATCAACTAGCTGCCACCAAATCAGGCGCAGGAACACAGCAAAGTCGTCTCCAAGCCCAACATGCGAGCAAATTTCCCCATCAACGCCATTCCACTCTCCTCTATCGCAGAACGCTCAAATCTTTTCGAGGCGATTCAAACTTCAGCCAACTACGTCATTATCATGTGCTGAGTTGGTCAAAGTTCACACGAAAAGGGTTTTCCCCTAAAATGGCGAAGAGATCGAACAAAAATTTGAATTTCCCGAGACAAGAATAAGGCGCGCAATATCTCTAGTTTCGTACATCGTAGCTCTTCGGTGATTGTTGCATTGGAAAGCTTGGAGTTTCCGCTACCAAATAGACCCTTCGATTGTTGAATTCGGACAAGGAATGATGGAGTTACGAAGGTTTTACGGATCGATCATGAATCCATCATATGTGATCGATTCACGTACACACCGTACATAAAGGGTTAATGCATTAGAAATGTGTAGAATGATAATACAGTCAACTTCGCTTATAACGACACTCGGTGGGGCATCAGAAAAGTGTCCTTATTCGCGTCGTTATACCCAAAGTCTCATTATATGTATTACAGTTGGATGGGACTTTGCTCTGGGCATGGGAATTCTGTCGTTATTCGCGAATTGTCGTTATATCCGCAGTCGTTATAAGCGAAGTTGACTGTAGATTGCATGATGTACTGTGTACGTACATCATCATTACAGTCATACGTTGTACAATCATGTACTCAGCTCTAACAAGTAATAACATGTAAATCTACATTGTAGATCTTTTGGCCTAGTGATCTGGTGCCGTGGTGGTGCCGTTCGATGTACAGCTGTATGTAGCTGGCGACAATCGGTCTCGGTAAGCGGAGCAATTATATCGTTTTGGCACGCGACAGTGGCAAGAGGAAGGAAGTGCATCACCCGTCCGATATGAGTGCCTCTAGCGGCAGTTGTAACGGATCGCCCGGGCGTTCTCTTCCTGTCATTGTTTTTTTTACACGTGCAATGCATGGTACGGCCTGGAGTTGTTGGCCAGTACAGCACCGTCGGGCGCCGAAGAACGGAACATTGAAGAACGAACAGGATAGGACTTCACTTAGCACAGCATACCGATATACCGGTATACACGGTGACTCAACTGTGCACAGGCATGTACATGAAAGTAAGAACGGCCTAGGCTACGACTCTGACCCCCCACCCCACCCCCCACCCCCCCCCCCCCCCCCCCCCCCCCAGTTCTTCGGCATCCAACAGTACTGTAATTGGTGGCTTCGAGACAATTTTTGTTAGCGATGACCGAATTGTTCTTATGGGATGCATGCAATGTCAAAGAAAACATGGGCATACAGTGAAACAGTCTAAGCCGACCGCTCAAGTGACTTTTTAAAAGCCTAGTTCACATTCGACGCAACGCCGACGGTACGGGACGTAAGGGCTTGTTGGGAGGGCTGGGTGAGCTGTAAAATCCTGTACGATCCGTACGACACGACATACAGCAGTCTTTGCGACGTTCAACGTCGAACGGCACGAGTCATAAGGCACGGTCCGTTACGGGGTGACTTTCGGACCTAATTTCTCGTTTTGCGGGACTTCTTTTTAATTATTTCTCCTTGAAAGAAGCGGAATCAAGTTCACAATACCAGTTTTTCATGAAGACCAAAAAATTAGCTCTGAAAGTTGTGGCATTCAAATAATAGCCCCAGGAAATGATAGAATAGTTCGTCTGTCACGCTTCTGAACTATCCCTAAATACAGTAAGTGACATGAGATCTTATGTTGCTAAAATTCAACTCAAATCGTGCTAGCCATTCTGTGAGTTATCATGGGAAGCGCAGTGTTCGAAATGCTAAATATTTCCAAGTACGAATCGGGAGTAGTCGGCGCACGACGCCGTCTCCTGTTCACACTCGAATGGCAGCCGTTTTGTACGCTTGCGTCCCCGTCTACGCCCGTCTACGGTATGAAAAGTTGGATCGATCCAACTCTTCCCGTCGCTTCACGATCTGTACGGTAGTACGGTTGCGTTCCCGTTCCTGGTGTTCACATTGGACTCGAAGTAACCGGAAACGGCAATGTTCAAAAACAAAATTCAGGACGGGTGTGTGTGTGGGGGGGGGGGGGGGGGGTGGAAATTGGACTGTTCTGTATTGATGCTATTTTGTGTTTGATTGTGTTCTTGCCTTAGATTGTTGGTAACTTGATTCTGATGTTATTTTATGGAGCACTTCTGGGCGGTGCTGCTAAGCTTATTGCCGGTAAGGGCGTGTTGTGACGACCCACTGGCGTGTGAGCCTTTGTTGCTTTTTCTTAATGTGACTTTCTGCTTCTCTCTCTCTCTCTCTCTCTCTCTCTCTCTCTCTCTCTCTCTCTCTCTCTCTCTCACTCTCTCTCTCTCTCTCTCTCTCACTCACTCACACACACACACACACACGAAATCTCACACGCACGTACATACGCCTACGCACGTACCCATTTCTACGCACATACCTTTCTGCGAAGAGGGCTTTCTTTTTGGGACGAAAGAAATACCAAATATTCTACTACAGTCAGACCTCGCATAACGGCACACATCCGTTTTCCACCAAAATATCCGGATAAGCGAGGGTACCGGATAATCGAACACACATACTGTATGTATGTATGACAATATGCTGTAAATCGGTAACCAAAGATAATCTTCCGGATGGCGAGGGATCCGGATAAAAAAAAGGACCGGATAAGCGAGGTCTGTCTGTACTTGGATGGATAGCCCAGGATTAACCCTATAACGCCTATAGGGCGGATATATCTGCCTGACTGTACAGTGCATGCTGACGTGACTTCAAACTTTCGCCATTCAGTCAATCCTTGTTCGAATTCAACAAACGAAAGGTCTAATCGTATCAGAAAAGCCTCAGCTGTCGGCTAAAAAAAACCCGAAGACGATCCGAGGTCATGGCACAGAGTTATGACACTCGAACGAAATTCACGTGGGTGAGTCAGCTTGCGCCGGCATAAATTTGAAACACCAGCAAGGGATTTTCCCTGACTCGCTGCTGAGGCGTGCACGACTGGCATACGTCATTTTGAAGCTCTCTCCTGCAAAAAAATTGACCATTCTGTGATCGATATTGTTGAAATGGCGGAGAATTTAGTACCGCGCTCGCAGGTCTGGCATTGGAGCGCTCAGATCGCGCTGCGGCGTTACTCCTACAACTCTATCAATTGCGAACTGGGTATGGCTGTGTTCGTCTTGGGGAGAGCTTTCCATAGAGCCCGAGATTGTTAGAATACTCCAAAGGATATCGAAAGTACAGTCAGATGAAAATGTGAGTTTGTGAATTTCATGCGTCTGCTGAAATAATTTAGGCTCTAAAGGGTTAATTTACAGCAAAGAAAAGGACCAAGGAAAGGGACCAGGGAACCAAGGGCTGGTGGTGTTAGTGCACATTTTTGCATAACTTGCAGTTCACGGTGAAACGGTCTCCGAGCTGTTTGCATGTTCTGTTGACGTGTACAGTGCGTATCGGTTAGTGTGGTCGTGTAAAAGAGTATACTGCCTACAAGAATAAACTCTCATGTTTTCATAATCATAACATGGGTTTCAAGTGCACATTTATTCTTACAAGCAATTTTATCGTACAGTAGAATATATCGGTCCTAGGAATGGACTTTGTGTAGCGAAACATGGCAGATTAGTACAAACTACTACAAATTATATCGCCTGTAGTAATAACATCCGTCAAATGCAGTTCTGATCTGACTCGCCATGGGTCGTAATGCTGCAGGTTCAACTGTTGTGGTCATGTAACTCATGTTGCATAGTCACATGATAAGCCTATGGGACTGTGACCAGCCGCATGCCCAGTAGCACTACGTTGCAAGTAAGATGATCTTCCTGCCTCTGCGCACATGCACATGATGACATTGGATTTATCGTGTGTAAGAAATATCGGAAATAGGAATAGAAATTCGTTTTTCAAACAACCACACTATAACCGATTCCTACTGTACGTTGTCTATGATAGAGCAGAATACTAGTACCCAATGAATATAGGCATGTTTGTGTGCTTTTCTTGATTTCATGTGTACCCGTGTGCTGGTTTGCCAATTTTCCTCAGATGGTGCTGAAATGTTACTCGATGTGGGCTTACCGCCAGCTCTTGTCGGTGAGTCTCTCTCTCTCTCTCTCTCTCTCTCTCTCTCTCTCTCTCTCTCTCTCTCTCTCTCTCTCTCTCTCTCTCTCTCTCTCTCTCTCCCTCTCTCTGGCGCACGCACACACAGACACACAGTTTTTTTCTCTCTTGGTGTTTGTACCCGCCGTAGAAACATGTCGTGTACCCTGCCGTATACCCACACACACACGCATGTGCGCGCGCACACTCACACACCCACACACACACACACACACACAAACACGCACACACACTCTGTCTCTCTGTCTCACACTCTCTTTCTCTCTCACTACCTTTCTCCCGTATTTCCCTTGATCTGCAGGCGGTCTTGTCTTGCCCGTGCTGGGAGCTGTGCCCGATGCGGCCATCATTATCGTGTCTGGTCTGGGTGGTGACAAGGCTACAGCGCAGGAACAGCTGCAAGTCGGCATGGGGTGAGCATACACTGCACGCGTGCCTGGTCGTTTCCATGTTTCTCCATGCCTGCAGGTCATGCGTAGGAGTCCAGCTGTTGCTTGCTTTTGCGGCACCAATAGGCTGTACATATAACCGTTATAGCGCTGATAAATGAAATCCGATCGAGATAGTCAGCGGTGCACTCTTCACCAGTTCACATCCCCGTGTTCGCAGGTCTAGGGCTGCACAGCGCCCGGCGCGAACTTGACTCGCGCGATCGGATTTCATCGAGTAGCAACTCTGTACATACTGGCCAAGGTTGCTTCACTCAGCTGCGGTTTCCCTAACACGTTGCACTGTACCGGGTCTCCAGTTCCCATCGTGGATACCACCATCCACAGCACCACTTGCCTCCTGCACGCAGACGCATTAAGAGCCTACCGCACGTACATGCATCGAAAGCCTACTGCATGAAGTACTGTCTTTGTACGAACTTCCGTTTGGAATTACTAGTAGCTTTTCTTAGGTCTGTTAGACGTGACGAGCTAGGGAAAGTTTGTTTTTGACTTTGTTTACGTTAAAAGTCTCTTCTATTTCACTCTGTTTTGAAATTGACTGTTTAATGTCCTCTTCCCATTATGGAGAATAAGTTTGTCCCGTATCATGAGCCGTATGAATTTCGACTTCTATCAATGAAGGTTTTCACTGGTGGATAATTCAAAAGTTTGAGGGAGTTGCAAGCGGGAAAATAATTGTACTTCGAAGTACATCTTTGTTATGGTCAGATCATGCTTAACCACATACACATGGTTGTGCCACACAAAGTGCAGCGTGTCATTGTAGTGGACAAGTGGGAAAGTTCAGAAAGCACACACTGAACAGACGGAACAAACCTGAACAGACTGTAATAATTGTTTCTCGTGTCCTGTTTTTCTGGTTTTGTTTGTGGTGGTGGTGGTATGCACGTGCTTGTGTGTGCCTTGTGTGTGCGTGCTCACTCGCGTGCCCCTGCGCTGTGCAATTGTGTTTGCATGCATGCCGTGATGTGCTTGTGCATGTTATTTGCGGTTGCCCAGAACCCTTGCCGGCAGTACCATCATGTTGCTGACCATTCCCTGGCTCGGCAGCTTGATCATCGGACGCTGCGACATCGGCGCGGACGGCAAGGCACGCGACGGCGTGTGCAGTGGCCGATTCAGCGTGGTCAACCAGGGCATCACCATCCTGCCGGACGTCAAGACCAGTATTATCTTCATGCTGGTCACCATGCTGCCGTTCTTGTGAGTTTCGCATTGCACCGTCGTATCCTTGTGCAGTAGAACTCTGACAGGACGTATGTACTGTATCCCATGTAGCGCATGCTAACATTTGTCCTTGTTTGCTATTCCGTTTATTGTCCTTCGAACGGTGACCTACTTGCCATACTAACACACTCTTCAGCTGGGTGTACTTGTTCGGTCTTGGAATCTGGACTCCAAAGAAGACTGTATTTATTTTTGTTCTTCGTAACTGAACGAAAACCTCTAGACTAAATAGTATGCACACATCATCGTGCCTTGGCACGGACATACCAACTCTGCTGTTGTCCTCTCTCCAGGACAAAAAAAACTCTCCTTTCCAAAGTGAAACTGGTACTATAACACAAAAGCACAGCTGATAAAGCGAACAGACTTACAGCCAATCAGCAAACCAGTTCCGTCATATGATCCGGCAGGTATTGCAGGAGTGCGGCTTATACTCCGGAAAATACGGTAATTTCTTTTCTGTATCCTATTTGTGATTTGAAAAGAGATGTGATGTCGTTCTTTCCTTTGATTGCATTGTGCAGTATCATCCAAGGTGCTGACTGGCATTGCATGACTGTGCCAACGTGCAATAACATCTCCGTTACGGCAGTCGATGGTGTGCTGCCGGAGCAACCATCCTACGTTCGCTACTCAGCGCTGGTGACTCTCATCTTCTGTGGTATCATGCTCATCGCCTACATGGGCTTTCAGGTGTGTGTAGCACAGCATTCAGCTGCACTGTGTGATATAGTACTCTCTTCTATGTGTACCTAGAGCACAGAACCTTTAACCACTCTCTCTCGTCTCTCTCTTTCTCTCTCGTCTGTGTGTGTGTGTGTGTGTGTGTGTCTCTCTCTCTCTCTCTCTCTCTCTCTCTCTCTCTCTCTCTCTCTCTCTCTCTCTCTCTCTCTCTCTCTCCCTCTCCCCCCCTCTCTCTCTCTCTCTCTCTCTCTCTCTCTCTCTCTCTCTCTCTCTCTCTCTTTCTCTTTCTCTCTCTCTACCTCAGATCTTCTTTTGTGCCAGTGGCAAAGGACAAGTGATATCAGTCCGCCAAACTTCAATATGATGTTTGTTTGTTTGTTTATTTAGAGTCGAAGAACTGTTGTAGCAGTCGCAGCCACTATTTCAATACACACATGGAAACTGGCTTCACAGTGGGGCAGTGGATCTTTTTCTCTTCACTTTTTGGGTTGCATACCTAGTTGCGTGTATTTTGTGCTGCTTTTTTCACTTGCTGTCTTAGAAATTTTTTTATTGCACTCTTCTGATTTGCTGTAGGTATATGATGCCAAAGTAGCTGAGCGCAGGGCTAAAAAGCACCAGCAAGAAGTGTAAGTCTGGCTCTGCGTGCTCTCTTGAAACAATGTCTTACTAGTGATTGTTGGGTTTCGCACATGTTGAATATGTGCACGCCTCGAAGTCTGATGCTCCCTGGTATCCACATTTTCGAATGTGCCGTTTGAAACGGTCCTGTTCATGCAATTGGAAATATTGTGCGATGTCTCAATATAGCACTGGGTATTTCCCCTGGGTAATAAAACAAGAACAGACCTCTACATTCTATTGTGTCTTGAGGTGTTCTCCGTATCCGTTTGATCCGTGTGATGAATTTGCTTGACTTTGTACAGGACGACGCGGCGCATTGCACAGCGTTTCTATACCATGACGAGCAAGAGTGCCTTTATGGATGCTGCTGGCGAGTCGGGGCGCGAAGCAACCGAGTCGGACTCCATGGTCAACCGAGGTTCGTGCACGATGTCTTTCTTTACATTTTGTTTTTGGCTTTTTCTTGCGGTGATGATGATGGTGTACGGTCAGCCTAAGGGCACAGCGGTAAGCCACCGCCTTAATTAAATGGAACGCGGTGCAGCTGAATTTTTCAACGCATCGATGATCAGCCGTATTATTTGATCAATCCGAATGTAGGTGCATTTTTTTAAACACGCACGCACGGGGGAGAATACATTTTGCCGGTCTCGTTGTGGCAGAGGTGCTACACCAGGAAAATCTGCACAGTTTAATTTTGTGCCGCTTTCTTCGGCCAATGTTTTGTTTTCCGACCGGCTGGTGTATTCTCTCTTGTGCTAGTCACTATCGCATTGCCATGCCTGTTGATCACGGGTCTCTCTGGAATAGGCCATGTCTGATCAACGTAGCCCTAGACTTGCATTTTAAACTGCCTTGTCAGTCTGCACTGCCGATCACAAACACTGGGCAACCACTAGCATTTCGCTCCCTTCTTTTTATTAATCTGCTCCTGGCACCGCTGCTGCTACCACTACTGCTGATGCTGTCATTGCTGCTCTTGCTGTTGCTATTGCTGCCATTGCTTCTCTTGCTGCCATTGCTCCTGCTGCTATTGCTGCTGATGTCATTGCTGCCTCTGCTGCTGTCATCTCGTGCACTTTGCCGCCGTTGTCTGTCTTCTCCACCAGCACGTTCAGCACCAACACCAGCACAGCCCTTGCCATGTCCTGTTTCTAACACGCTTTTCTCTGTTCCCTGTTCCTTTTACTTTATTTTCGTCCCCGGTGGGCCTTTTGCCGCGTCCCGCCTTTCTGGCTGCCTTTCCGGCTGCGGGTGTGTGCTTCTTGGTGCTGTGCTGTGCTGTGTTTATGTGTGTGATCGCTACTCTGCTTCTACCCAGAAGGGATACAGAAGAAGTACTTCAACGCGTGGAAGGTCCGCCAGCCGACCCGGCCCACCGTCAGCCCGGCAGCGGCTGAGCCGCAGAGTGACGAGGAAGAGGAGAACGTAAGATGACGACCTCGTTGCGACAAACATCTCGGGGAAGGGTACTGTGCGTTGCACAGAGGGTTTATCCACCCTCAGTTCCTTCGGGTAGTTCACATGTTTGTGTCCTATATAAGGAAATACCTCTGTTGCAAATATCTTGTAATAGGTAACGACCTTGTAGGTGCTTTCACTTTTCCGAAGTATAGAAAAACTAGTATAGCTGCCTCAGCGTCACTGGCTGTTTGTTTTGCTGAGACACCGCTGCTTCACCCTGACAATGAGCCATGCCCGAAAATTGGTTAACTTAATCTAGAGTGACGACGCTTCCTGCAAAGAAGCCATGTGCGAGTGTTTGATCTGAGTACAGTGCAGACTACTCATTGCATCAGTATCGATACGACATTGGAGATTGCTATGGGCGAGTTGCTTGTTTTGCTTGTCCATTGTCGTTTCAAGCTGCATTTCGAGGAGTGAATTTGGGAGTGTCGACGGCCATAAGCGAGGGTCGCTGGTTTGAGTCCTGGTGGTGGCAGTCAGTATTTTGAACTATTTTCAGACTTCCCTTTCAATCCCTTAGTGCATACTTCTCCTCTTATCGCCTGCTGGCTTGTTTGTTTGTGCTTTGTTCCGTTACCAGGATAAGGAAGAGAGCAAGGCCTTGCTCTGGGCGAAGAGCATCATCATGCTGGGAGTTGGCATTGCCATGGTCAGTGTGTGTGTGTGTGTATGTGCGTGTCTGTGTGTGTCTGTGCATGTATTTGTGTGTGTGTGTGTCTGTGTGTGTGCGTTGTGTGTGTATATGTGTGTCCCCCGCATGGAGCCTGTGGCGAAGCCCTTCATCTGTGGCACTTGTGCGCGCAGTTTTCGTCGGCCGCAGGATATTGCGAGGCACAAGTGTAACGCTGTTGGGCCGCGCGAACTGAGTATGGCGTTCCCCGCCCGGGGGGACAACACGTCTCCTGGTCTGCCCCGTATGGGGCCACATAGCCAGTCATGGCAGTGGAAGAAGGAAGGAAGGATATGTGCGTGTGTGTGTGTCTGTGCGTGTATTTGTGTGTGTGTGTGTGTGTGTGTGTATGTGTGTGTGTGTTTGTGTGTGATTATTTTTCATGGTCTTGTGCTTGCCCCTACTGGATGAACAAGCTGCTGTTGTCATTATTGCCTTAGAAGTGCTGCTATGATTCGTTATTTAAAAAGTCGCATCACAAACAGGCAACTATGCCTTCTTACATGTGTGCGACTATATGAAGACAATATTATGCAAGAAATGGAAGGAATAATTATTGACTAACAGAGGATATTATGATGATTAACTGCACTGTACCATGCTATGCTGCACTATGCTGTGCTGTAATGTACCATGCTATGCTGCACTATGCTGTAATGTACTATGCTATGCTGTACTGTGCTGTACTGTGCTGTACTGTCATGTGCTATGCTGTAATGTGCTGTGCTGTGTGATGACTGTACAGGTCAGCGTCTTCAGTGACCCAATGGTGGATGTACTCAGTGCCCTCACCAATAGCAACAACACAAGCTACTTGCCAATCAAACGTGAGCTGCTGCTGCTGCTACTACTACTGCTGCTGCTGCTGCTGCTGTTGCTACTGTTTGTTAGTGCGTGACCCTTCTCTGGGCTGTATTGACTCTGATGCTTTTCCTGTGTGCTGTTGAGATGATGGAAGATTTCTATGCGCCCAGAGTTGTGGTGCTTCATTGTGACTGAAGGAATGGCAACATCTCCCCGTTGGACTTTTCTTTTTTAGTTTGCCGAGTTCACCATTTCATAGCTTTGCCCGGTTGGGTATAGAGTGGGTTCCCATCTATCACATGACCATACGGGGCAGCCATGTTGGTTTCAACTCCACTCAACCCCCAGCATCTATGCCTGGGTCACATGATGTCGGCCATGTTGGTTCCACTGTCCACGTGACATGATCACTTTCTGCACGATTTTGGTCACATGACCAACTGATGTGAAACCACTCTCTAGACTGTGAGGGTTCTGCTGTTGCATGTTGTCACTGTACAGCCTTCTACGTTTCCTTCGTCGTCACTCCGATCTGCTCGAACGCTTCTGAGCTGGTGTCCTCGCTGATGTTCGCCGCCAAGAAGACGAAGACGAACATCTCCATGACCTACTCCCAGGTGAGAGGTCGCATTCCGCCGTGCCCCACACTGCCTGGTGGACAGTTGGTCTTGAGTATTACTGCCAGCCCAGGTGTCCTGGGACGCAGTACATTATGCCTAGCCTTGTTATCATCCTTGTTATGTTCTCTTCTTTCTTTCCATTTCCGGATACTCTTCAAGTTTTCACACAAAATGCAACATACGGGTGCAATACGCACCCGGAACGATCCATCCGTGGGCCCAATTTGTAACTGGAAAAGACTAAGAAAAATGAGTAGTATGTGTGCTGTCAAAATGTGTGTGTGTGGGGGGGGGGGGGGGGGTGCTGCCCCTGACTAGAATCCTGAACTGATAAAGATTCTGATGCTTCAAATAGCTTTCGTATGATTTGCCACTATCACTTGAAAGTATAATTTTCTCCGCGTAGTTCCTGTTTGTGCAGAGAACACCAGCCACCTTTCTGGGTAGTGGCACTGGCAACTACATGTACTTGCAGTCATTAGTCATCGGCTTGTGCTTCTTTGGCATGCTGAGTGCAATTACAATGGGTTTTTGAAGGCTGGAATTCTTGTTGATGTGTATGTGTGTGTGCGTGTGTGTGTGTGTGTGTGTGTGTGTGTGTGTGTGTGTGCGTGCGTGCGTGCGTGCGCGTGTGAACATGTGTTGATATATGTTGACAGCTGTACGGCGCTGCCACCATGAACAACACGCTGTGCCTGGCAGTGTTCATGGCACTCGTCTACACCAGAGAGCTGCAGTGGGTGTACTCTGCAGGTCAGTTTGTGTGTACGTGGGAATAGCAGTCCGGTGTGACTGTCCAATGGGTGTATACTGGAGTCCGTGGGCGATGGGGTGCTGGAAGGTGTATGCATGTACAAGTGTATGTGTGGTAGCAAGAGTGCATACCCTGTTGTGACAACAGAAGTTCAAGTTGATGTCTTTTTTTATGATGCAATACTTCTTGCACCAGTGATTCACAACATCATTTTTGTAAGGGATGTCAACACATCACATGTGCTTCCTGAAATTAGTTTTTACGGGATCAAATGGGGCTTCGTCCACCACACTTTCAGGATACGTCTGATAATACGTGTGGTACTGTCGTGTGCAGTACACATTGCATCATAAAAATGATGTCAACTTGAAATTCTGTCGGGACAGCACCGATACTGGAGTTGCACACTCTTTGGGGTTGTGTACTTTTGGTGATCGCCATTTGGGGACTATGCATTCTTCATTAGTCTCTCTCTCTCTCTCTCTCTCTCTCTCTCTCTCTCTCTCTCTCTCTCTCTCTCTCTCTCTCTCTCTTCTGGATCTCAGCTCTCAAGTATACAAATTAGCTTTTGAAATTCTGCTGCAGTAGCCACGGAACCCAAGGCTAATGGCTGAAAAAGTTGTACGAGTGATGTCACTTACCCCAAGAGTGAAGACGTGTGTTTTCCACTCTTAGAGCATTGATCAGGGATATGGTTTGGCATGCTCAGACAGCAGGTTCATGCAAGCTGTGCAACAGATTGCATTCCCGCAAAGATGTGCCGAATGTTGGCGTGCTCTGTCCTGACCGTGTACTTCTGCTTCAGAGTTCAAACCGTGTAGCTGTGTGTATCACGTGCTCTGTGCTCGGCGGGTCTGTTTCTTGTGACTTTTCACTGATCAGGGGTGTGGATATGGCCGTGTGTGCATTATAACACTTGCTGTTGTGCGTGTCCCCTGTGGGTTGTTGCGGGTGTTAGTGGCCATCGTGAGTTCTCTCGGGAATGGAGATGAGCATTTACCTGTTTTGTTTTCCGTGTCTCATTTTCTGACTGCTGCAGAGGTGTTTGTCATCATTCTGGTGCAGATAGTGGTGGGCATGATTGGATTCCGCGAAACGTACCAAGTAAGTGCTGTGCCGCCCCGTCCACTCTTTTCTCTTCTTCACATCTCCGTCCCCGGCCTAGGCACTTGCCTTGCGTCTCCGACACCCACTCGCTTACTCCTGGCACGGGCAACTCGTGAAAGCTCAATCATGCCGGCCGGTGGCCACAGTCCGTGAACTTGTCTTACAAAGTCAAGTCCGTAAACCATGTGTACCGTATTTCCTCAATTATAAGTCACACCTGTTTGTATGTCGCACCCCCACCCCAATTCAGGTTTGAGCCATTATTGTTTCAATATAGTCACGTAGGTGGGATGTCACACTCGATTTTAAGTTGCATCCTCTTCTCTGCCCTTGAAGTTAAAAGTGTTGAAAGGTGCGATTTATATTCGGCGAAAAATATGGTACTGGAAGCCCCGTTACATGGAGAAAAATCCAGTCCGCTAGAGAACAGTCACAAGTCAGAGATAACTGAGCACTGCTGTAATGCTTCTAAATAATTTGTTGAAAATGTAGTAGCAAGTTATCTGGGTTACCAGTAGAATGCTTGTGCGTCTTCTATTCAATTCAAAGCTCTTCATGTTCTTTCAGCGCAGGTTTCAGTGCACTTGCACTGGGTATTGGGTAGGTTTGTTGGAACTGGATTTTGTTCTTGTGCCGATGTTGCTGCAGATCTGGATTGGCTTCCCCGTCGCTGCCCTGTATTTTGTCGCCATCGGCCTGGTGGCTCTGCTGGAAAGCTCCAAGGTGGGCTGGAAGTAAAGCCCGTGCACCCAGCGATGTGCGTGCGTGTGTGTGTGTGTGTGTGTGCCTGTGTGTGTGTGTGTGTGTGTGTGTGTGTGTGTATGTGTGTGTGTGTGTGTGTGTGTGTGTGTGTGTGTGTGTGTGTGTGTGTGTGTGTGTGTGTGTGTGTGTGTGTGTGTGTGTGTGTGTGTGTGTGTGTGTGTGGAGTTTAGCGGAACACCGAGAAGAAAGTAACCTGTACGTGCACAGTACGTTGCTGTTGCTGTTGCTGATGCCCTCAGTCTCTCAGTCTCCCGTCTCTCCCACACATACATGTATACGCTGAAACGAAACAAACCAATGTATACATACCTAACATACTGTTTAACATACTGTTTTATGAAACCGTAGGGAGCAGCTCCCCTGCTCATTCCGTGCTTCTAGTGCTTGTCTTGTTCAAATTCTTTTTATCTCCCACAAAAGTGCCCCGTGAAAAGTATTTCAATGGACTTTCCTCGACTTTCCTCGATGCAACTACAAATACGGCGTCGTGTCAAAATAGAATATGTCTTATGCGAATCGTATAGAACGGTGTATCTTGTGCATGCATCTTAGTAACGCCCTTGCTCGACTGTAAAATGCTATACGTATACCGTGCCGCTGTAGCTTCAGTGCAAGGCTCTTCCTTGCCGTATTCTTACTTAGCATTCATCTGTCTTCCTTGCGAACCCTCTCCCCTTTCTTACGACTTGATACTGCTATTCGAGCTGCCTTTTTTTGCCTTCGAGTAGCCTCCAGACTTCTCCGGTTTCTCTGCCTCCCCTCTCCACTTTCATCTTCACTCCCTTCCTGATCTTAGAGCGACGGTTTAAGTTTTACCTTACAATTTCTTTTTCCTCTTGGTACCCTGACAGATTTTTTAAAATGTTTATTGATAGGATAAAGTCACTGGCGCATGGCATCTATTTTCTCTTCTCCTTTGCTAATCAGTACAGTACTTTTGTAGTTTCATGCCCATGCCAGTGTGTCTGTTTCTGTTCAAGAGCCTATTCTCCTTTCTTGTGAGAACAGTACGACGTTTTGACTGACGCTGCTGTTCACGTGTCTAGGAGACTGCTCTGTATTTGAAAGCCGACGGTGGAACATCTACTGTAAAACGGTTAATTTAAGCGACGGTGATATTTTAGCGACTTTAGTGAAGCAGGCAGGCATAGTGGGATGGTCTAAGATCATGATTGAGAAACAGAGGGTACCGGGTTCAAGTCCTGCTTGGAAGCGGAAGGATTTTTTCCAGCCGTGCTGCGACCCACAGTTAATTGGGAACTCGCGGCCTGGCACGAGGAAAACATGGATGCAGTGAAAGGGATTTTCGGTCTTTGACCACTTGCTGGTGAGCTGATCTACTCACCTCCCACCGCTTTAGGAGCTGTATCTGCGCCTTGATCCTTGAAGGGTGGTGGCGTTCCTACGGCTACGGGTGCGGAAAGCCCGGCTTCCAGCCGAGTCTCACGCGAACCGTGAATTTTTTTTATTTAGCGAAAGGAGTGTTTTCGCCAAAGGGTTGCCACGCCAATCAAAAAATGTGCATGTACAATATGTAAATAATCGACGCGGAGACAACAATTTTATAATAGCTATAAAGAGAACAAATTCTGCTGTCATCGCCACACTACAACAAAGTCATGAAGGTTTACCAAAATCGATTTTCTTGTCACAATCATCAGTGGAAAGCCGTGACTGAAGAATAACCATGCCAAATCAATAATTTATATACATTCAATAATGTGTTACGAGAACAAAACAAAGTGCTAAAAATAGAATGAGGGAAGGTGAGACAATAGAAGTAAAGTGAGAGCTAAGTGCAACAGGGGTGAGGAACTAATTGCAACGCTAGAACTGTGTAGTGAGACAAACAATCATGCTGTGCACCTACGAAAACAATCTTAACGCAACTACATGTTTCTTCTGCTTACAAAGATCAGGCTTATGCAAACGAATACAAACAGCCTCAAGTACTTTCAACTGACTAGCGTACCGTGCACGACAAAGAACAGAAAAACTAAAATCATCATACACCTGCAGACACTTAGGGTGAGACAACAGATGAAGAAAAACGGCAGACTTCTTACGATCACAATCACCATCCGATTCCTCGTCTCCACCAACCGCAACCTCGTCCCCCGTCTCATCTTCCAACTCGTCCTCAGTGTCGCCCTCCGTGTCATTCTCCTCATCACCACCGATCGGTCCCAGGCTCGCTTCACGTTGCTGAACCTCTGTTCGTTGACTCCTCCTTTGATCTTGATGGTAATTTGTTACCATTGTTGTTGTTGTCATTGTTGTTGTTCCTGTTGTTGCTAAATCTTCTGTTCCCAGTGTCTTCGCCGGTGCTTGACATCCAGTACTGTAATAATTCATTGAATAATTAGCCGTTGATCGTCTAGGTCTTTGAATGTTGATCGTGTTGCTTTCTCTGTTGAATTCCGTTTCCTTCAGCCTTCTTTCTTCTTGTTCATGTTCAGTGCTTACCTCATCCATATTTGCCCGTGCCAGCGACACCACAGACTCAGCCCCAGCACTGCCGATGGCAGATGCAGGTGGCGGTTCTGGGGGAGGCAACGGCAACGATGGCGATGGGGGCATCACCATGATCACCTCGCCGCAGCGTCCACTTTGGTCTTGAGCTGGATGTTGTTGTGGTGTACTTTCTTGTGTTGTTATGGTGCATTGCGTTATAACGTTAGTGACAATGTGCACATTATCCATCTCCACGGCTCTCGATACGGGTAATGGAGGCACTATTGCCGTCGACGGCAATTGTGCTAACGATGGCTCTGATCGAGGGTTCTTAGGTGGTCTGCCGCGTTTGGGTCGCAGTGCCCGTGCCGAGCCAGTCAGCATGTGCAGTGGGACGTGCTGCTTGATACGTGCGTTCAGATGTTGAAGAGTCCTACCAACGTACCGACTACCGCATTGTCGGCACTCAAATTGGTATACCAATTAATGCGAGTTGGGTTGGTAGGACATCCTTCCTCACCGTGAACGCACGTACAGTTGTGAAAACCGGTACAAAATGTACCGCGTAGTACGTTTGTTGTACAATTTTGCGGACCACGCGACTCATGGATAATGAGAGGTTACCTTTCCAAGGGAGAGAAAGATACGTGGGACATTTGTCCGGGCCAAAACGTATTTCCTTTTTATGCAGCCTTTCGCTCATGAGCTCCTTCAAGAGATCGTCGGGATACCCGTTCTTTAGAAAAACTGACTTTAGGAAGTCCAGTTCCTCAGCCAGTTTGGAAGAGGAGCAAATACGGTTTGCTCGATCCACCAAGTTACGCACTAAATTCACCTTGTATTGGTACGAACAATACGAGTCAAACATTATGTACTGGCCGGTGAATGTAGGCTTTCTGTACACAGATGTTACTGTACCCTGACTAGACTTTTCCACAAGGACGTCTAGAAAGGGAAGTTTGTTCGCTTGTTCGTGCTCACAAGTAAAGCGTATGGAAGGATGTAGGTCATTTAGAATACCAAGAAAGACTTGTTTTGTTCTCGTAACACATTATTGAATGTATATAAATTATTGATTTGGCATGGTTATTCTTCAGTCACGGTACTGATGATTGTGACAAGAAAATCGATTTTGGTAAACCTTCATGACTTTGTTGTAGTGTGGCGATGACAGCAGAATTTGTTCTCTTTATAGCATGTACAATACAGTACCTTTTTCTTGATTTTGTATTTAGTGCTTTCGGGTGTTATTATTTATTTTTCTTATTTTATTTTTGCACTTTTGGGCCCAAATAAGTCTTGATGCCGGCAAAAAAACAAAAACAAAAAGCAATACAGTACAAGGGTGCGTTTGGTTGGTACGATCTAGAACAGGATCGAACAGCTGGTGCACATGGAGCAGCCTCATGCCAACCAAACGGCACTCCAAAAACAGAGCAAATTTGAAAAATATGCCAAACTTGGTGCAATCTTCAAAAATTAATGTGTATGGGTCACCATGGTCACTGTGTACGGTACGACGAGTCTAACCCCAAAGCGTATGCACGTGATCATTTGGGACCAAAATCGATGTTCCCGCCAGGTTTCACTGTGAAAAAGTGAAACTGCTCGGTCTGCTCCGGCCTCGAGGCCGGAGCAAGCAGAACATGTTCTGGCCGACCCAGAACAGGTGCAGTCCCAACCAAACGCGCTGTTCTGGTGAATCCTGTTCTAGTTCGTACCAACCAAACGCGCCCCAACTTGGGCCCAAGACTACTACAAGTCCTTCTTTTTAAAGTCTGAAACTCGGATCGCTAAAATAATTCATCGTGAATTGGTCCAGATTCAGAAAACGCTAACAATTTACCCGCTAAAATTAGCCGTTGTACAGCACAATCATTGCTGTGTAGTGCACAGCTGTGCTGGGTGAAATCCCACTCAATTAATTGGCCTGTCCCCGGGGAAAATTGCGGAAAAAATCGCAAAAAACGCGGGGAAAAACGAGGCATAATATGGCATAATTTGCGGTGAATAATATTGATGTGCGGCAATTTTCAGTGAGTATGTAGTGAAATCAATCAGTTACAAGTCTCTGGTGTAAGCACTCGTCATATTTGAGTAAAAAGCCGCCACGATGAAACGTTGCTGACCGAACAGTGCACTGTGTGTACGTGTATACGTGTAGTGCAACAAAAAAGTTAAAAAAACGCGGGAAAATCGCGGAAAACGCAGTCTTTTAAAAATCGCAAAAACGCGGCCGCGGAATCGCAATTTTCCCCGGGGACAGATTGGCGCCCTGGACTTGCATCACACGTCCCTTGATGCCCTGGAAGTGGTAAAGAATGGCTGCTGGACGTACTACAGTCAGTTTCAAAAAGGTTAGCAATCCTGGCGATCGCCCGGGGAGTTTGCCGTCTCAGTCCATCCTCAAGCGTTCCATCGAGACTTACACTGATTTTTGCGATCTTTTTCTTGAGAACGATTCTCACCCTGAAATGACTTTCGGCGACTGACGTGAAAGAACACTCATGACACCCACCTCGTCGAATGGAGCATGCATTGTTTGTGGTGTATGGGTGCAGGAAGGTGGTATGTTCGCGAGGTGCATATCGAAAATGATCCGAAAGACTTTGTGATGGTGCCATTCGGCGGAGAACATTAATTTTGAATTTTTCGTACGATTCAGAGCAGTCGGCGAAAACGAGCCAGTAACCTGAAAGGAGGGCGTGAACAGGTGTAATTTTCGACAATGTGGTTGCCCTCGACCCTGCTCTCGGACATTCGAGTAATGGTTATGGCAAAATCGATGGTGCTCCAGGTTTTTCAGACGCATTTCTTGACCATACTCAATTCCGTAGATAAACCTGTGCACAGAAAGCACACAAGAGTTCAAACCAACTCCACTGTATTCAGTTCACGTGTTTTCCACAGATCCAAAACCCTCCTGGGACCAGGAAAGTGGACAATACGCTGGAGTACAGACGTGCACACTGCGAACACGCCCACGCGCCACTCCCACCCCTGCACACCCGTGTCGGACATCACATACTGGCCATGTCACGGTGCCGCAGACGTCATGGGCGTGCCCCACACGCTTGCGTTACACACGTTTAGATCCTACATGCACACGTGGAGCACAAACATGTCAAACATGCGTGCCGCGGATGCACACACATTGTTCGTACATGCCGGATACACTTCGCATACATCACATGTGTGTGCCACACCGTCGGAGGAATACAAACCGTGAGCACAGATACGCACACATGAGAGTACCTCACCAACAAAGCCTAGCCAGGTTCGCACTCGGTTTCCCTATCAACAATAATTTCTGGCTAGAACAGTGCAGTAGCAATAGCCGAAACAGAGAGAACGCAACACGGGTGGCCGAGCAAGTGACATACAGCATAAACAAGACAAACGTACTTTGTACATTCACATACAGTCAACTTCTCTAATAACCACTGCGTATATAACGACAATTCGCAAATACGACAGAATTTCCATGCCCAGAGCAAAGTGACACACAGCATAAACAAGACAAACGTACGTTGTACATTCACACACTTTTAAAAGTTTGTATACATGTATG